GTCGTGGCATGAAAGAAAGCTGCAAAGGGCTAGCTTCCGTTGGTCCTTCACGACTCCCTGGTTGGGGTCCGAGAGATGGTGCAACACAGTGGCTAGAGACGTTATCAGATATGGCTCAGAATAGAAGCCAGTGGCGATCCTGTTGCAACCTTCTTTTACTTTCTACATAAAGAATGGTTCTAACTTTCCTAACTGAAAGAGTCTTCTGGTTGTACATTTCAGTCCGCCTTATCTTTTCATCCCTTCTCTTCCTACTTTCATTATTTTGTGTGGCGCATATGTACCTGGTGCCCTTTTGTACCAATATATATGTGTTTAAATAAAAAGTAACTAGTATTCGATCACAAGTATCTCAGAATTTCTCGTGTAATTTGGGACAAACAAGAAAGTGATGCCTCGATTAGGGATAACGTACTAGGTAAAGATGCCAAATGGATTGATGAGGTTGTAAATCTTCACTAGCCTCTGCCAGCGAAGTCCTACTCACTGCCTTCTCGTGGCATTACTGTTGTTTACGAAATTAAGAAGACGAAAAGAGAATGTCCGGTTGTTTAATCGGGTTGGTGGACACGGAAAGTCCACCTAGAGGAGTTGGGAAACCCTCATTCCAAACCAATGGTGTACATGGGCTGGCTTCAGTATCCTGAGGAAACAAATGGAGTATGAGTCAATCGTTGGTCACCGACTATCATGGGACTGGATTTCTTCACGATGCTCCACTACCTTGTGGATCAGACGTTTAGGTTGAAGGCTTCAGGTGTAGCCCCCTAAGAAAACCACCTGCTTCAGTTTGGGTACCTGTGCATTATCACAGGCCTCAAGCAAATCGAATGAGATTTGTATGGCGCATATGTATCTGGTGCTTCCTTGTACCAATATTTATGTGTTTAAATAATAAATAATAATAAAATCTTCACTAACTGAGGTTGTTGGGAGATGTTACATATGCTCAATCACTGCATATCTCAATAGGCAGTTTTCTGGTGTGAGCAAGTTGGAAGTTAGCGGCGACCAAACCAAAACGTAGCGCCAGTCTATGAAATTGCTAACAGATGAAGTGTGCTATGTTAACAAGTGGACTACTTGGTTGGAGTCTGGACTATCGCAGCGAACCAGTAGAGATCTTGAATGTCGTCCCAGAATGGTTTACAGTGTTGTAGGTCAATCAAATATTTTTATTTTTATAGATATCAGATTTCCAAATTCTACTTACTACTTCTATTATTCTGGGATTTGCACTAACAATGTCATCTCTCAATATTAATGGAGTGTAGCAACTTGAACTGATTTGCATACGCACCACGTTCTACGTTGCACCTCATAAGATGACTGACATAGACATTGAGGTAATATTCAACGAATCATTTTAACCGTCATAATTGTCGCAAACGACCTTATGAACGTTTGGATGAGTCAGAAAACTCGTAATTGCAGGCAAAATTCAAAAGTTCTGGAGTTTATGCAGTCACAGAAACGTTGTGTATGTTCTAGGGAAAAATTAGTGTATCCACAACGACATGTCCACAATATTATGTTTACTCTATATAAAGCTTTACTAAAAGAATTTTAACCAGCATATCCTGTTAAATATATGAATATATAAATTACTAAATGTAAATTCTGGAGCATGTCGAGAAAAAATGGATGCGAAATTGCGTACTTAAATTGGTTATTACTTTTTTGCAGAAAGTGACATCGATTGTTCAGTTATATGGAACAAGATAGTAAACTATCCTGTGACTACAAAAGCACTTTTAATAAGACTAACACAAGCCGACAAACTATAATTTAGATAAGGGATTCAGAACATCAGCAAAACTCAAAGTTTAGGTAACAAGGCAGCACAAATGACTAGATAAACAGGTAATTTAGGGTGAAAACAGGTGAAACCTTACCCTTTCTCTAACTGAACGACGTCCCGAGTGACCTTGTCAATTGAATGTTTACTCGTGGCTGATGAGGATGAAAAGAGTGTATCTTAAGAAAAATGTATAAAACATAAAGTTCAAACACTTTATAACTTTTTGCGCGACAAGTGAATTTTAAAAGATAAATTGCTTCGGTCAATTTACTATGGGCGTTCACCACAGAAAATGTAATCTCTTTTGAATTACTGTTATATAATTATATAGATTCTCCAAAAACAAAGTTAAGGTGGTTCAAATGGTTGTGGACGGAAGAGAAGAAGCTTTCACTTAACGGGCTTCCGTGTCTAGTAGCAGTGGATCACCAATATCACCAGGCAAGAACCTAGATACATTAACGATAATAGAGGAAAAAGAAATTGGTAGATCATGTTAATAAGCTATCCTTAGTCCTTAGGAATAGGTCAAGATTCTTCCTAAAGGACTCCTCGGAAGTCGCTTGAACCAGCTCAGTCGACAGCGAATTCCAGATTTAACAACTCTTAAGGAGTAGAAATTGTGTCTACAGTCTGATATGATATGTTGGGTCTCCAGTTTCTGGGTGTTACCCCTCAGGTTAGTGTTGTGATTAAGCTTAAGTAGATATTTAAGGGGAAGACCAGCAGTGTTAAGGATAATGTAGGTCATATGGAGGTCTCCTCTAAGACGCCTGTATAATAACGGTTAAAAGTTAAGTGATTGGAGGTGCTCTTCATAAGGTTTGGAATTGAGTTCCTGAACTGATTTCGTGTCTGGACGTTGGATACGTTCCAGAGTGTCCTTATCCTTCTGGAGGGAGGGAGGTAATACTTTGTTTCCGTACTCTAAACGGGGACGAATGAAACTGTTGAAAATTATATGGAAAGTTCCACCGTCAAACTGGCCAAAAATGCGTTTCAATGTTACTAGTGAAAGGTTTGCTCGAAAAGCGTTTTTGTCACAGTTAGCAAACGACTTCCAGTTGTAATGTACCCACACGCCTGAATAATTTTCGACTTGAGAAACTTCTAGAGAGGAGTTTCATAAGTCGTAACTATAGTTTGTTGGTTGCGTAGTTCTCCAAAGTTTCACATAATCAGCAAAAAGCAATAAGTCAAATGAATTTTTTCGTGGAATATCATTATTGCAAATAAAGAAGAGGTCCTAGTATTGAGCCTTAGGGGACCTCTCTAGGACATTCCATAGCCTGAGAGAAAGAGAACTTAACCCTGACCTTTAAATGTCGGTTTTCTAGACGTGAAGCTAGCCAGTCAATCAGAGGGAGTTTTATACCAAGTCGTCTAAGCTTATTGATAAGACATATGTGTTTGACTCTATCAACAGCTTTTGAGAAATCCAGGTAGATGACGTCAACCTTCCCTTTGTGATCAAGGATATTTGTTCATCTATCCACCACAGTCAGCAGGTTGGTCGTACAAGAATGACCTTTTCTAATACCATGCTGTGTATACCGTCATTTATTAGGGACTACATAATTTTAGAAGGTATGAAATATGCAGCCGTTACGTTATTCAGGGAAGCCTAGAAATACAACTTCCTCGATTTCTTACTGAGCTTGATTACTCACATTAGTGACCCTAAAATAATGGTTAAGTGACACTGAAACTGTTGAAGGATTTCTCATGTTGGACATCAGGGCACTGGGCTGCGTATAGCTGACATGGGTAGGACATGGGAGCATCATGGACAATGCAAGGATCGACCATGTTATGATCTTAAAGACTCTTATTCAGGGCTACGGAGAATTGCAAAACTCCAGATTAATGATGTGTCAATATTCCAACTGCTTCAACATGGATAAAGGCTTAGCCGGATATGTTTGTTGATCACAGACGTAGGTGGTCTGTGTCGATGACTGCAACCATGATCCAGTTGAACAGTAAGGACTTTGCTTGCCAGCTAAGGTGGAATTCACCTTTCGCGTTTATTACCTAATCTCGACTACTCCGTCGTAACTAGTTAATATTGACACTTTGATTGTCATACAGCAGAAATAACGATATTACATGAATATATTAATGGGAATAGGTGCAAGCGTTTCAAACATCCAAACCTTCTTGTTTTTCCTTGAAGTACAAAGAGATCATACATTAGTGTTCTACATCCGCAACAATATATGGGTGTTTACGACTCGTATACTTCTGCTCCCTTCGAAATCAAAAAATCATCAAAGCCACCAATAAGCTTCTTATGGGTTGTGATCGAACCTACTGATAGAGTAATTAAGCAGTAATCACTGAGTGGTCATTGGTGTACCTAATACCGTCAGCAACAAATTACCGCAGCAGAACATAAACTAGCTTCCATCTGAAGACGAAATTAGGAAGAGACGATGGAGGTGAAGAGAACATACCTTGTGTAAACCATCAAATTGCACTGCAGGGCAAGTCCAAAATTGGAACCGCGAAAGTAAAAGTAAAAGAGGAAGTCCGAAGAACATGGTGATGCCACAGATATTGTATTTTGACTACGCTTTAACCAACATCAGCTCCTATGATTGAATAGTGCCCACCTAGTGAAATCAAAAGTCGGAAGTGAGGAGGTAGGAAGATATATTTGATAGATTTTCAATATGTCGAGAAGTGACGGAACTAAACTGGCTAGCGATTGCAGAAGTTGAGCACGGCGTTCCCACTCGTGATCTGGTGCGGATGCATGACTGAGAGTCTTCAGCTAGATGAGTCCATTAAAACCAAAATCGTCACCATCCAATGTCGAACACTTACAGAGCTATTTGTTTTGGGGATTTATTTTTCGATACAAACACATCACAACAGGAATCGGAGACAGAGATCAAAAGAATGAATAACAACTGGAAACAACTGGACAGAAGCGACCAGGAAGTAGTTTGATGGATGATCCTAGTTGGAAGCCTACACTTCCACATGACAAGAAGAAAGCGTAAGTGAGTAAGTCAGTCAGTTGACTCACACCTGTTGTTGGAATATTTTGCCTTAACCAATAATACAAAAACACTAGTCAACATTCGCAGTAAGAAACTGAATTTTTAGAGGAAAATGACCAAAAACATCACTATAGATCGGTAATTTCTTCATATTTATTTCTAAGTACCTTAAGTAAAATCTAATATGTTTTATTGCTTAAACGCGCTTATTACTGAAAACAGCGGTTGTTTGACTCCAATTTATCCTATCGATGAGTGATAGCGTTTACTTCAGCGAAAGGACAAAAACCTATGATATCCCTATATCACATTTAGACTTTAAATACTTGGATTCTTGCAATGATCCCGTTGAGTTGGAGAAAATATTGAAAACCCTGAGGTATTGACCAGTGTCACACTTATCATAGTTACAGATCTGGTGAAGTCGGGCGTTATGCAGAACTTGAATCATTTTGCGAAGAAAAGGTCACCAGGTTAAACCCAAACAGGTCGGTGTAGCTGATGCATGTAAATTTTCAAGTCATATTGCCTAAAATATTCCACAAACGTTATATGTCGCTCAACTCCTTAATATTCTTTTTTATTTTCCGAAGCATTCATCTACTGAAGACTCATAATTTACACAAGTTTTCAATTCTATGTGATTTAAAAACTAAAAAGTGTGTTGCTGGCTTTCAATGCCTATTTTATTATTATCATTATGTCATCTCAGAGTATCAGATGTTTGCCACCAAAGTATTATTTCACTTATTTTACAGTTCCATTAAAGGATGTGTGAACAAGTCTAGTGAATCCAGTGACTTTAATGAAAGTTGAGTCCAATGTATTCGAAAATTTACGTGGTGACAAATAGCTCGATATCAGATCTACTCACAGACTACCTACTATCTAGAAAATGTATTTATATACTTGTTTCGATACTACGAGATCACCAACGAATACATCTTATTACAGTCATAAATTGTCTTCTGATATTCAGCCTACCGGGGATATAACCTAGCAACTGGCACGTAGTTTCCTGTAGTCGTGATCATGGTCAACTGTGACAAGACGCCTAGTAAAGTACGGTGCCAGAAACTAGCATTTGGCTAATTCTCACTGATTCACATTGCTTTTGTACTTTAAGGTCACAACCTGAAACTCAAATATGTCCCACAAACTTTTGGAATGGTCAATATTTCAAGCATACACAACAACCGTCACTATATCTATGAAGTGTACAGGATGAATTAAGGTGAAAAGTAGTGTAGACCTTATCGTGGCAGATAAACCATTGATTACAGCATGGTAGATGCAAGTTAACTCAATGCTGATTCTTTATCAACTTTTTCATTTATAATCAAGGGCTGTAAGAATAGTATATGTTCCTGAAAATGGATACCTTTTTATTGTATGGTATCATAAACAATGTATTATGGAATCCGTTTTCGAAATATAATGTTCATAATCTTCCACCGTGATAATCAATCAGGCCACAAAAGCTAAGGAGTCCATATTTCAGAAATCAAATTCAAGTTCAAAAATAAGTCACTTGGTCTTTTTTTCGCGAGAATATAACGGAAGTGACCACAACTGGGACCATGCAACAACAAACATACAACAGTAGCTAGCTTTCTGAGGTCTATGAGTTTGTTTAACTGTACTGAAACATCTTCGGGCTCTATATATGATCAGTTTTCTGACTTGTGTTTGTTTTTTATTTATCTTAGCACTTTTTTGTTCTACGTTGTGAAAAGTCGTACTCGGATAAAGAGTTGAATAGTGTGCTTTAGTCACTTGACGTCATTAAGTTGCAAAAGATTCATATTTGTTCAACAAAGCCTACATAACTGTTTTGTTAAAATATAAGTGAATTTTTGTTTTTGAGTTACAGCATACCCAAATGGCGATTTGGTAGTTGAAGTGAGAGTACTCAGGCACTCGCAGTTTTTAATCCTGTTATTATAGTTTGCAAATATATATTATTTGTCTAACAAGAACCTATCCATCAATTTTGTCATGCAAACATACAACGAATATAGATATGTCTGTGTCATAAGTTGATGTTTTGAATATACCATTTTTCAGTGTGTAAATGTAATTACAACTGGGCAACTACATGAAGAATGTTAATTAGAATATTTTACAAGCTTCGCATGGTAAATATTTAGGACTAATTTTTCAACTAACAAAAGATATACATAATGATAAAAAACATTTTACATTTTAGCAGTGCTATCAGATGATATATTAATCTATTAACCTTTGTTTGTAGAACTTTTTTTGCTAAAATGGTCTTCATTTCCTGACACACTAGTATATGATATATTTGATAAAACCCGCAGAAGTATGAATTTTCATTTTAAGTAAGTTTTAGAACTGCCAAACGAAATATTTTTATCAAGACTAGTTTTTATGTTTAATTTGGTGACAAAAGTACTTTGGGAGAAGAGCTTGAAAGTCTTAGTTATGACACATGAAAATCCAAGACCGTACAGTTAGCGTTTTATTTTTATTTCTTAATTTCCACTGAAAATTTGGACAAACATTGATAGAACTATCAAATTTCAATCAGAAGATTTTTTATTACAACTAGAAATGTAAAATTTATTTTATTATAAACACAAATATGCAGTTAATTTTAGATTTAAGTATCAAACTAAATACTTTTCGTTTGTCAAAACAGTAAAAATACCGTTATGTGGGTTCAAAATATGACTACATTTTGATTATTAATGATTACCAGGTCATTTGAACACTACTAGAACTCATACTATGAAAATATGTTGGAAAATATAAACTTTTAGAACCTCAAACTCATTAATAATGAAACTATGAACCGTGACTATGTTATCTTTTATTTATAGTCGGGTCCTTCGGAAAGCGGTAGAACCAATAAAAATCACACAGTTGGATAAAGAAGAAAGGCATCAAATTGAAGAAGACTTTCAGGTGATCTAATAATTAAATCATAAATAAAATAGGAGTTCATGTCACAATACTTTATACTTGAAATTCAAATTGTCTGAATGAACATTAAAAAACTGACAATATGTTTCTTCGCTTATGATACTTTATCTTATCTTAATATATTTTGTTAGTAAACAGTTTTACTGTATTTAAATTTTGTCAGTATCTAATTTATTTACAAATTATATGAAAGATCGGATTCTAATTATTCATTAACGTTCTTGAATTGATAACGAAACTGAATTCAGAAATCTGATCATTTGGAAGCCAGTTGTGTGAGTTTAAGAATATCCTTCTCTTCTTAAAACAGATGTGATCTAGCACTATAACTATGAATTATACCTTTCAATGCTTAGTAGCTATTCTTCTGCGATGAGACTAGGATGTATAGTTTAAAGAGTATTTTTCACCATTGAAATTTATCCTGACACCAGAATATTACTTATCATAAACACGTTGAATATTCCACCTACATCTTGAGTATCTTTATTTCTCTTTTTTCTGAGTCCGAATAAAAGCGAAACCAGTTAACCACATGTATATGTAGTTTTGAAACGTTGTTTGTGCCAACTAAATATTTTCCGACAGAATAAAGTCCTTTCTAATAAATTTAACGATATGCAGCGTGTTAAGTGTCTAAACTGCCATTAGTGACAGAACACAGGGCATGGGTCCCATCTTTAACTTCCGTATTTTCCATTGACATACGGAGTCAACTAAATCAAGAGTATTGTAATAGCGTATTAATAATATTACATGAAAGTTGTAGTATTTAGTGAACTAAAGTCCAGAGTAAAAGAAATAGAGCTTTGATACAGTGGTTCAACAGCATAGACGACATCAAAAAACCTGAAGTTACTGGGTTTGATTCGATGAATGGTCATGGTTGAACAGTCCTGAAAAATTCAGGGCTTCAGCAAACCAGTTGTGTTTAATCCTCTGGTTTTCAACGATTCTGTGGCTTGTATTACTTCATAATGAAAATTAACTTTAAATTTATCTAAAGTTACCTAATTGTTTAGATTTTACCATCAAAACACATAGAAAATCATAGTTACCTAACTCTCTCAAATTTTTGATTGAAATAAATCACATACGAATGTAGAGTTGGCTTAATGAAGTAAAAACATTCAGTGAAGAAGTTGACGGTGATAAGAATTCAGAAAATGATTATCACTTGTTGGAAAGATCAAAAAAGAAGTTACTATCAGGAAAGCAATTAGAAATGAATGATGAAGAATTAGAAGAAAAGTGTTTGAAATATGATGATGAAGATTTACCACCTATTCGAAAATCCATTATTTTCGGTAGTAATCAACAATCAGCAACACGAGTGAGTATATCAAGTTTTTATAACTTCTTGATACTAAAATTTTCTTAATTCAGCTTACATGTTATGAGTGGGTCATTTTGGCATAGAGTATTAGGCTGAGCTACTATGACATCTTGAAACAAAAATAAGATTTCCGTAGTGTGACTGCAAACTGAATGGAAATTATTGCTACTGATACCGCTATGATTGCATAATACTGCTCTATTCTGATTAGTGCAATGGAATAAGACTACTATATTGGTTCAATAGCGAAAACAATACTGAATAAACGGACTGATTTATTCGCCAACTACTAATTAAACGACATTTACAGTAGCAATACTAATGATAAATCACATATCATTTTAACTGTATGGTCAATCAACGAATTTGAACGAAATAAAATAGAGGTTAAACTGTAATCTACTGAATGCATAAATTAAATCACTGACTTGAGTAATGAATATAAATCATCACCGAACCGGGTACTTATTTCTGATATATAATACATCATTTGATAGGATCTTGAACTCATATCCACAGAGAGTGTTGGAATATGTGTTACACATTTTCAGTTCTATCCTACTGGGATACAATATACTGGGTATCAATGGAATTACTTAGAGAAAATCTAGTTTCAGTCGATCGAAAACTCAGAATCAGTTAACAAATTTATTGACTATTAAACTGAGTATATGGGGGTACGTGGTTTGGACTTCTTGTTAATTGTTTATCGTGATAACCTTAATTTATATTTAATTAAATTAAATATTAGGTATTGATAGTGATTACACTGGCACCAATCCATTTATTATTTCTGTCTCACCTAATCACTATTTTATATAGTTCGTTGTCTGATTTTATGTGATCTTTTTTCAAATTATAATTTTTATGTTCAGTTTGCCCATATGAATGATATTACTATTAAAACTCATTTACTTTCCAAATTATCAATTTTCTTTGTTTTTATCAGAAGGGGTTTTGTGGAGATATAGTATTTTCATAGTTGAATGCATGAGTCATTTGAAGCTAGACCACCAGGGAAAACCTGAAAGCACTGGACAGCCGTTTCGTCCTATTGTAGGACTCATCAGCAGTGCGTATCCATGACCTCGCCTCGAGAGATTCGAACTCAGGACCTACCAGTCTCGCGTCCAGTGCTTCCAGGTTTTCCTTGGTGGTTTAGCTTCAATTGGCTCAGGCTTTCAACTATGAAAATACTAAATCTCCACAAAATCCCTTCTGATAAAAAGTATAAGATGAAATTCAGGGATTTTGTACAGGTAAACAATGTACCATTGTATTTGGACTTATTGGGTATCCATTCTTTGATGTTGAGTTAATTTCCAGTTAATACCAGTCCATGATGGAAATTATATTGAAACTAAATAGATTTTTATATACTATTTAGCTTAATGTAATATTATGAATATTTAAACATTTATACTCATCTAGTGAATAACATTTTTGAGAATTCAATACAATTTATCATATCATCCATTAAGATCAAAAGTACTGGACACTAGTCACGTGTTTGGAGTTGTGAATGGGCTTTGTTGAGGAGTCCCATACTAGGACGAAACGACCGTCCAGTGCTACCAGGTTTTTAATGGTTTTCTAGCTTAGACCAACACATGAATTCAATTATTACAATACAAGTACTAACAAAAATATGGGGAATAAATGAAATAAAACTGAAGAACGAGTGAGACTGTTGATATTATCTGAAACAAGGATATTTAAATGAGATACATGAACTGATTTATTTAATGATTAAGTAAACATCAACGTTTGTTTTCATTTGAACACAATTTGTAAACTTGTCAAATGTCCATTACTACTCCGTTTCTTGTAATTTAGTTGAATTCAAAAGGGGATTATACATTTGGTAACAGAGTTGTGAAGCCAAAAGACTATAGTGAGTGGGATAAGTAAGTTAAGCTGTATATGAAATTTCATATTTTTTATGTTTTGTCAGAGTAACTTATTGAGCATTAAACAATTCATTTGGTTCCATTTGAAAATCTATACAGTCATTCATGTATACATTCAAGGATAAACAATCTCTGATTCCTTGCTATTATTATCTATTTATAATCAACACTTGGGAAAAAATAGATGAAAAAATATATATACTCGCTGGTTGGGATAAGTAATATGTAAAGAATATTTCATCTAGATAGTGATTGCTAGATTCATATTGTAAATTTAAGAATTATTGATCTATTAAGAAGTAGTTCTGTTTATAAAAAATTATGAACTGACATTATTTTGAAAACCTTACCTACTTACGCCTGTTACCCCTCGTGGAGGAGAATAGGCCGCCCACCAGCATTCTCCATCGAACTCTGTCCTGGACAATCCTTTCCAGTTTTTTTCCAGTTGTTGTTCATCCTTTTCATATCTGCTTCTATTTTCCGGCGTAATGTATTCTTTGGTCTTCATCTTTTCCGCTTACCTTCCGGATTCCAATTTAGGGATTGCCTCGTGATGCAGTTTGCTGATTTCCTTAATGTATGTTCTATCCGCTTCCAACGTATTTTCCTAATTTCCTCTTCATCTGGAAGCTAGTTTGTCCTCTCCCATAAAACGCTGTTGCTGATAGTATCCAGTCAGTGAATGTTGAGTCAATGAAGTTGGTGTATGGTGACGAGTTCCACACAACTGACTGTTCAACGATGACCCTTAGTGTCTCAATCTGGTCTGTGTACGACTGATCCTTACGGAATCCAGCCTGTTTATCTCAAAGTTGGGCGTCTACTGCATCTTTCATCCGGTTGAGAAACACTCTGTTGAAAACACTTCCTGGTACTGACAACAAACTGATGCCTCTGTAATTCTCACACTTGCTGAGATCTCGTTTCTTTGGTATCTTGATGAGGTATCCTTCTTTTCAGTCCATTGACACTTGTTCCTCTTCCTAAATCTTCTTGAATAGAAGGTGAAGCATGTTTGCAGTTACTTCAATGTCTGACTTTAGTGCTTCAGCTGGTATATTTCAAAAAGCATTAGAAACTAAAGAATATTAGACAACCTATTCATCTTACTTCTAAGTTCAATTCAATACTGTAAACATTTAAATAATGAATAGCTTTTTATCGGTCAATCGCACCCGAAAATTCTAAACTAAAGAGAATTACGAAGATTGACTAAACTGAAAGTTTACAAATGATTACTTACAACCGATGTTTAATGACAGTTATTTGAGATTAGGAATTAGCCGAAATTAGAAAGAAATAAACCTTTATATATTCCAATCAGATAATTGAATAATCAGGTAATTGTTGTTGAGTTTAAGAATTCTGATTTTACTGCCGTATGAAGGTGGGAATGTTCAGCATTGGAAAGGTTGAAATCAGAATGGAAGCTATGTTTTATCTCTTAAAGACATTTTGAATTCTACGTAAAAACAAAGATTACATTTCATAACATAAGTTTTAGCTATTAGTAACGTTCTCAACATCATAATCATTACTTTCATAATCTATGGACTATAGTTGGAATGAAATTTATGATGTATATTTCAGTCTTTATAAGACTCGTCAGGCAGATATGCTTAATATATCCCAATATTTTTGTTCCCACTGAGACTCAAACACAGTATGCTCCACTTCAAACGTCAACACTTTATCCGTTGGGCTAAAAACATATATTCGCTTTACTGTATTAGTTAATTAACTGGTCTTAGTAATCAAACACACTTCATTTATGTTTTGAAGACGAACATTAAAAAGATCTGTCAAAATAATTTATCATAAGCAGGATAACAATATCGGGCTTGAAACTACATGACCCAGATTTGAGTTCATTTCGCATCTAATTTAAGACTTTTAGATTTCATTTTCATTCCATTTATGAGTTTGTAATAAAAATTTACATTAATTTGTAAAGGTTTGTATTTCCCCGTTGCTGATGTTATTTACTACTTAAGTTTAATAAAAACGTGGAGCTAAATACAATTCATATTCATTGCACAAGCTAGTAGCTATCCTAGACTTAGCAACATAGTGAATAACCTGTTAATGTTTACAACAACAAGTATTATGTTGTAGTTTCAGTGTGATTATGAACATTAGGATGAAAAGGTAAAAGCTGAGGAGTCTCAAATAAGACGAAACTTGCATTCTGAATTTCACTACTAGTTACTATCTAACTTTTAAAAAATGTTCAATAATTTAGACTGTTGAATCCATTAAATTCACTTGGCATTGCTTGTTTGAATCTTACCATTCATGTTTAAGATTGCAACTGGTCAGTCTCTTATTGGTATATGTGCATACTGTGCATATTGCCTCGATATAGCCTTAATTCACAAGCATTGTAAGCAAAGATGGATATTGGATAGCAGTGGAATCCAGGACGCGATGGCATTTGAAGCAAAAGGTACTGGGTTCGAGTCTCAGATTGAACATCAACTCTGAAATGCAGGTACATCGAGCTGACGAGTCCCAAATAGGACGAAGCTCTCATCCTCGATTCCACTGCTAGCCACTATCCATCTTTGCTTACAATGTTGAATCCATTCGTTTACAATTTTCATTATAACTTAAAGGTTAGCGAAAGAATGGGATAAAGAACTGGCTGAAGAAAATCAAACAAATAGTAAACCTGAAAAAGGCGAAAAAATGATACTATCGGAAATTGAAACAAATGGATTAAAGAAACTTGATTATAAAGAATTGAAATTAAGAGTAGTTAATATACCAATTCAAACAAGAAAAAAATTGGCTGAACGAGAAAAGGAAAAAGGGAATGAAGTGAGCTAATGGATTGTTCTTTTTTAGTAATATATCTTATTATTTAGTAAATTTTCAAAATATGTAAATGTATTTATGTAATAATGTGAAAGCTGTGAATCAGTTTGTCTCAAATAATTGACTTTAAGGTATTGAGTAGAAGGTCTGAATCCTGAATCAATCTAATTCAGTTTTGACTAAACGATAATATTTAAGAATTTGTGTATATAAAGTGAAACTGATAAGAACAGTACTCAGGTATCTTTGCTTTATTAATGATTTCAATCAAGTATTAATAGCTAGTTTGTTTGTGTGGGCTTAAAAGATTTCCTGTTCGAATCTTATCTTCTCGCTGAAGTAGTCAGTTCAGGTGTTAGCGCTTAGCACGTTGTGTATCCGTATCAGATCTCGGGCATCCTCGGCATAAGGAACTCACCTCATTTTGCCACTGATATTTTAAAATTAAACTAGTGTAGAAGATGTCAAATAAAGTTATGTTTAATTATGATTCAGATGTATAATTCAGTATTTAAATTCACATAGTATTGTTTATTTAAATCTTCCCATTGATGTTTAAGACTACAACTGGTCAATCACTTATTGGCATATGTGCATACTTTGCGTATTGCCTCAATATAGCCTAAATTCACAAGCATTGTAAGCAAAGAAGGATATTGGCTAGCAGTGGAATCCAGTTTGACGCGCGTTTCGTTTTATTCGGGACTCGTCAGATGGATGTACCTGCATTTCAGGTAACGCGATGGCGTTTTTAAGCGAACGGTACTGGGTTCGAATCCCAGAGTGAACATCAACTCTGAGATGCAGGTACATCCAGCTGACGAGTCCCAAATATGACGAAACGCGTGTCCTGGATTCCACTGCTATCCACTATCCATCTTTGCCTACAATTCAATATTTGTTTATATAGTTGCTTTTTTAATTGGAAGTAATGCTTGACAACAAACTGTTTGTACATTAAAAAAACACATAGTAATTCTTGAAAAACATTTTAAGCAAATTATCAACATTTTAATTCACTGAGCTTATTATGACAAATATCTTCCGGAAAAAAAGATTCTGAAGATAATTTTCGGTCCAGATTGACATCATATGAGATAACACTGAAAATCAGGTAATATTGGACAGCTAATTTTGTTGTTAAGTGGTATTCCTGAGTAGTATAGAATGATGAGTTTAACCACTGTTTGTAATAGAGACTTTTAAATCCTTTTTAGCATTTGTTGTGTTTAGAATAATAAATTGAAATCGAATGAATGAATATCTCGTTATTTGATCAACCGACTGAAATTGAAAATGTAGACAGATGAATTTAAGCTCAGTGGTTTAATGTAAAATATATTAATTGATAGACCTGAAAATTTAGGTTGCTATCCCTTGGGAAAGATACGAATAGTCATCACTGAAAAAATTCCATGTTAGAGCAAAATGATTCTTTAGTACTCTCTCAAATTACATCGATCTGAGTAAAAGATTATTCTAATAACTTACATTGGCTTCTATTACAACCAAACAAAATCATTCTTATTTCAATATCGTTTGAATCAAGAAAGGTGGTTTTTCGATGTAGGAGAAAAAAAGATCCAGCTATGAAATGTCTTGAATAGTTTGCAGGAAAGAAAAAGCTTAAGTTTCAAAGAAAGCACAATTTAAGGTTCATCATCGTCATATATTAAATCATTTCACCTGATCTTCATTATATAGAAAATCTTAATTCTGATTGGATAATTCTTTTTTTACATTATGTCACATTTCAATCAGCTGAGGAAGCCCAGTATGATTGAAGCAAACATAAAATACTGTTTAGAAGAAAAAGTACTATTGATTGTTTCGAAAAAAGTAAAGTAATTTAACCTACCTACTTATTTCTGTTTATTCTTACTCAAATAATAAGAAGCGGGTTTTTTTATTTATTTAAATTTAGTCCTTTAAATCAGGTGACTATGCTGATGCAATGAACTATTATAAACGAAGTCTTATTATGCATAAAACCAATGCTGTTTACAATAATCGTGCTTTAATATGTGAGTTTTTATGTACTTTTATAGAAAAAATTAATTATAAACATAATCGAGTTTCTATTACATATAATGAAAATAACAACGAGTAATCTCAGTAATATGGATAGTAGGTCAGTTGACCTATTTTAATCCTTGCAACTTGTTTGCCAGTGGAGACTCAAGTTTTCTTAAAAGTTTTTACTGATAGGGATGATATCGTTTGTTTTCTAGTTCTCGGTATTGATAGAATTTAATTGAAGAAGTTACAGTAAGTCACTAGCCCATATAGATCAACATCATAATGTGCAGTGATAGATGTTAAAAGATAGTATAACAAAAAAATTGAAGAAGCAGTGGAAATTCGCCTCCTTGTCTTAGTTTGTAAAATATCTCAACAGTTGGTGGAGATTTGTAGCTCAGATGGATGATTTCGATGGAGTTTTGTTCTCTGAGCTGGATGATTTGGTAATAACCTTTGAGTCACATAGACCAGATTGACTCTACAACATTCAGTTATCAAGTTGATCGTGTTATCATCCATCCGGTAGTTGTGAACCGCATGTTTTTTTCAGATTTAACTCCTCATAAATCATAACAATTGTTTGATATAATTAGTTGACATTGTTTATAGTTTTTCCAATACAAAGTGATGATGAATAGTTGAAGTTGAATTAGGCCTACAATCACTAGTTCATCTGTTCAATTCCCATTGCATGTAAGCCAATTAAAGAATACAGATTACATCATTAATTCCATATACAATAAAGGATCATTCAATTTTGAGAATATATGTTTATTCAAAATTCCACTTTTGTTTATGATTCAACTTTTCATATTCTGTAAGCCACTTTTTTGTTTTGTATTTGCATTTGATTAGATTTACGACAGAAACTTTGGAAACAAGCTGTGAATGATTGTACAAAAGTTTTAAAAACTGAACCAGATAATTTAAAAGGTATTTGTAATGATAATAATAATTTTAATAGTTCAGATCATGAGTCACTTGAAGCTAGACCACCATGGAAAATCTGAAAGCACTGGACGGCCGATTTGTTCTAACATGAAACTCCTCAGTAGTGCGCATCCACGATCTCGCCTCACGAGATTCGAACCCAAGACCTATCAGTTTCGCGAGCGAGCGCTCAACCACTAGACCATTGAGCCGGTATCTAACGGTGTTAATGTCTAACTTCAACTATTAAAATTACTACAATATCCACAAAACCCCTTCTGATAATAATAATTTTGTTTTTCTAGAAGAAAACAATGCAAGTGTTATAAACTGCTAGTTTCCTTAAATTTATTCCTTTGAAATAATGATTGTCTTCATTTACTCAGACGAAATTATTTACTTAGAATTACTGTCTCAAACAGTTTCATTGACATAATTCCTTTATTGATACTTATCCTAAATCACTACATTTTTTCCTGTATTCTAGGAAACTATTATAATTAACGGTAAATTTTTTCAATACAGCTTATTTATTTATTTAAACGCATAAATATTGGTACAAGGGGGCACAAGATACATATGCGCCACACAAATCTCATTCGATTTGTGTGAGGGCTGTAATACTGTCCAGGTGCCAAAACTGAAGCAGGTGGTTTTCTTAGGGGGCCACACCCGGAGCTTTCGACCTAAAGGTATAACCCACAAGGCAGTGGAGCATCGTGAGGAGATGCAGTCCCATGGTAGTCGGTGATCAACGATTGATTCATATGCTATTTGTTCCCTCAGGATACTGTAGCCCATGTGCACGATTGGTCACCGTGTCCACCAACCCGGTTAAAGTGCCAGACATTCGCTTTTCGTCCTCTCAGTTTCATAAACAACAGTAATGCCACGAGAAGGCAGTGAGTAGGACTTCCCTGTCAGAGGATATATACGCGTGGCCATATGAGAGCATTTGGAGAGGGAGAGCAGACTCTCCCCACTCTTGGTCGTACCAGGGCATTTGGGGACAGTACTAATTACGTATGACAATAGCTAGTATAGAATGATCGGTATCTTCAAAACATGGTAAAATATTAATGTTACTCTTAATGATTTTTTATTTTACTTTGAACATTTAAGAAATAGATGTACGTTTCCTAGTAAAAATGTTAATTTTAATTAAAAGTAATATAAAAAGGGTTTTTTGAAGCAACTTAGTCGTCATTTCTGTTGATGTTGCATTCTGACTAAATAAGATTTATTTTAAGAATATTCTGTTCTTAGTGACGTGGAATCCTTCAGTTATGTATGAGGAATTTTGCTCAAAAGTCCACTTTTAATCTATTAGATCCATAGAATTTGATTTCCATTATTAGTTCAAAATTATCTCCATCCACTTCAGTCCATAGCCCTTAAACTAGAAAATATTTGCAGATTACTAGTACTTGATTATGGATGCCTTTTAGCATCGCTCGAGTATGCTAGGATCATCCTGTCAGTAAGGCTGAGATTAGATGTAGGATAAAAATGGCAAATTACTTAATGCGCTAGTGAATCTTCATTAGCTTAGTTGGCTGTAACATGCATGATATGTGCTTAACCACCAAAAATGTTTGTGAATGTAGGAGTGTTTTAACAGAAAATGCATATGTCCTAGGCTCTGCGTCACTTACAGGTGACTGGTTGAATTTTGTTCGAATGGCGGTATATTATCGTTAATTCACAAAATAAATATGGTTCAAAGCTATACTCGGGTGCTAATTCGCTTTTATTTTACACAAATTCTTATCATAATTCTTTTCAACTTCCTTATCAATTGATTTCTGTTTTTCTTTCAGCATTATTTAGACGAAGTCAAGCGAATTTCGAATTAGACAATTTAGAACAAGCTGAAAAAGACTTAAATAGACTTACCGATCAAGATCCAACTAATTTTAAAGCTCAAGTTAGTTGAATTGTTTTTGTTTGAAGATAGTTTTTGCCATAGATCAAAATCTGTCTAGGTATCTGAATTTCGTGGATAATTCTACTTGTTGACTAAGTCAGTGCCCATCTTGATTCATTTACACAATGTTGAACACCTTTGTATTTGAAATGATAAGTACTAGATTTAAATTTCAATGTGAAGACCAATAATAAGATACGGGTTCAACAAGCTAGCGATTTATATGCTGGACGATACATGCTTTCTGAATTTCGCTAACAGCCATGATCTAGGATATTGGTTTGTTTAATCTGTTTAGACTGTTTGGGCTTTCCCTGATTGTCCAAAGGTTGCTGTTTCGAATTTTAAATTAGCTATTATTTTATATTCAAAATGATTCATTATCTAATTACTAATAAAGTTGATATGGTCAAATTACTTATTTATAATGAGATTTGAATTAATATATTTCTTTTTTTTACCATAGAATTTATTACGTAATGTGAAAATTGCAATATCAAAACGTCAGGAACCCCATTTGAAAGGATCTAGACGTATGATCATAACTGATGTCGGTGATTCTTCGGATGATGATGATGAGAGCGATGAAAGTGTCGAGGAAAATGAGCATCAACAGCAAGAACAACAACACATACAAGAACAAGAAACTGTAACAGTGAATATTAATAATATGGAGCTTTCAAGAAATCATCCAAATCTAATTGAACACCATAATAATGATATTGATTCTGAAAAACATTTTGATATTGATATTAGCAAAAATGATAAGATTCAATTAACTGACAAGTCTATTTCTGATATTAGTAAACAAGAATGTAACTTGAATGATTGTTATAGCTCCAAAGTTGATGCAGATAATAATGAAGATATAATAACTACATTTGGCAATGAAGCTCTGCATTGTCAATCTGAAGTCAATGAACATTTAGAAAATGATGAAGTGTCCATTGTAAGTTAGAAGTATTCCCATTCTTATTCAGTTAATATTCTAGATTAATCACAATGTGCAATTCGAGATTATTTAACTGTGTTAAGCAAATAAGTTTTCATGTAGTTAATAAAGGCAAATTCTACTTTTGTACATATTACAGACGGTTTATGTAACGAAAGTACTTTGTTTACCTTCATTCAATAAAAAGTATATAATTTACAAATAAAAGATGCATACAGTGTTTATGTAAAAACCAAGAACCCCTATAGAGTGTGAGGCAGTCACCCAACGAAGACAATGAAAGATAGTCGCACGATTTCATGGATTTGTTGAAGTTAGACATTAACACCGTTGGATACCGGCTCAGTGGTCTAGAGATTAAGCGTTCACGCGTGACACTGATAATTCAAATCCCACGTGTCATATCGTGAATACGCACTGTTGAGAAGTTCCATATTGGGGTAAAACGGCCATTCAGTGATTCCAGGTTTTCAGTAGTGGTCTAACATTCATGGATTCATGATCTGAATCAAAAACTCAACAACCTCATCAACCCCATAATAATATCTCGTTCAACTGTTTCGTAATTTTATGAATATGTATTACTATGAAGGAATAGAAAGTTTTGTTGTGAAAAATATCTACTTTATTGAATAATTCTCCCCGATTACATAATAATATTATAATTTATATTGAAATTATTTAATAAAAATCTGTTAGTTTAGGTAGAGTTTTGATCATAGAGCTGGATGGTTTGGTCGTGACGCTTTCATTGTTCCTCGAAACAACATCATCAGCATAAACGACCGAAGCATTCAGATCAGAGAACAAAACTCCATCTAAATCATCCACCTGAGCTACAAATCTTTTTTACAATCTTAAGTTGTTATTCTGCATTGTAATAGAAAACTTACAGAAGAGAATAACACTAACAATACATCTAGCTAAATATTTTTGCCAAATGGATGAAAGTAAGGTTACTCCTTGATGTTCAGTATTACTTTAGTGAGTTAAATAAATGATTTCATAGATCCAGGAGAAAATATTTACTCAGTTTTTCTAAAAAAATCATTCGGTTGATTACCGGTGTTAGTTATACTAGAAGTTAAGATCAGTTACCCAGGACAGGGTTGAATGGAGAATGCTGGTCGGCGGCCTATGCTCCTCCACGAGGGGTAACAGGCGTGATTAAGTAAGTAAGTACAATTAGTCATTTAAATCATGAAAATTTTTATTTATTTGATGCTTGAATGATTATCTTTCATTTAAATGTTTCTCTACAATAATAAGTGACAGTATTACGTAACATCATCATTTTTTAAATTTTCTCTTTATTCTTTTCTTTTTTCAAAATCTAAGAGTACATATTCCATCGCTGATTATGAAGAGTTAAAAGAAAAAGGAAATGAATCCTTCAAAAAGGTATTTGTCGAATTTTCATTTCTATTGTTTTATAAGTATATATTTCATAACTTTTCAGTAATATTGCTCCCAAATGCCCTGGTGCGGCCGAGAGTGGAGAGTGTCCGCTCTCCCTCTCCAAATGCTCTCATATGGCCACGCGTATATAGCCTCTGCCACCGAAGTCCCAATCAATGCCTTCTCGTGTCTGGGGTATTGTTTACAAAATTGAGAGGATGAAAGGCGAATGTCTGGCGCTTTAACCGAGTTGGTGGACACGGAAAGTTCACATACGGGAGTTAGAAAACCCTAATTCCAAACCAATGGTGCACATGGGCTCCAGTATCCTGAAGGAACAAATGGCGCATGAACCAATCGTCTGTCACCGGCTACCATGGGACAGCATCTTCTCACGATGCTCCACTGCCTTGTGAGTTAGATCTTTAGGTCAATGACTCCGGGTGTGGCCCCTTAAGGAAACCCCCTGCTTCAGTTTGAGCACCTGGTCAGCATCACAGTCCTCACACAAATTCAATGAGATTTGTGTGGCGCATATATATCTGGTGTCCGATTGTACCAATATTTATGTGTGTAAATAAATAAGTGAATATTAATAAGTGTTATAACTATCCTTAAAAGTAAATTATGTGTAAGACATGGTTGATTGACAAGTTGGTTATAATTAGTTCACATCAAACTTTGAATTCGGGTTTCACACCAGTTGTGAAAGGGTGCTTGCAGTATTGAGGAAAATGATACTTGCTGATAGATTCGAACCAGCGTCAGTCAGCTTCATAATCTGAGACACAAACAACCCCTTGTAGGACTGGGATACTTACAATTGTTTATTCACTGTAAAGCTGTATGAAGTGTATGAAATCTACCAGGAACCATCAGTTCCCTCAAGATTGCAAATAAATCTTTCTGTCAAGGTCTAGCTAATAAGAAATCTAGCTTCATGATTTTCTTCTGACTACCACCAACCACCTACTATCTCTGTATTGTGTATGTAACAACAAATCGCTTAGAATAGTGGCTATAATGTACCTTGATCGATCGAACATCAAACGACTAAATAAATATGACATAAGTCTTTACCAAATGGTCAATTAGCTGTAGAAAACTTTAAGTCTACGTTAATTACAGATATTGAGACAGTTCACAAAAATGAGTTTGATATGAATTAATAAGATCGCATAAAACTCCTTAGTAAATATTTTAAAGTTGTAATCCTTCGAGTTTTTGTGAGAAAGTGTTACCAATTGAGTTCAACGATGTCGAAAACTAGTCAATTACCCATCAATTGTATTTCAAGATATAGGCGTATTATATTGCGAATTAAGTGAAGTGAGAAATTTTAACCTTTAGGTAGCAGCTTAATCGTTTATAGGTTAATATCTCGCTGCAAGGCCTGAAGGATCTGCTTTTAGCTCCTCATAAGTTCATGAATCTACACTGCTGATGAATCCCACAAAAGAACAAAACAACTGTCCAGTTTCTTCAACAATCAGACCGTGATGTTATCAACAGAAGTGGATTCAATACCTTTAAATATATCTCAACAATATACAACTTGAATAAACTAAAGTTGTATATACGTATTAACACTAGTATTTGTGTAATTTTCACTGTACAGAGCTACACAATTTTGCTGATGAATTAATCTGTATATTTTCACATTCATTCATTTAGACATTGTGTCAATAATTAGAATCCAGTATGCACATATGCCAATAAGAGACTGACCAGTTACAGTACTAAACATCAATGGGAAGATTCAAACAAACAATACTAAGTGAATTTATTTCTACTATGTATTACTTTTTATTATTTTAGATGAAATTCATTGTTTTAATATTATTATTTAATGATTAGGGAAATATGAAATTGGCTTTAATATATTTCAATAGATGCATTGAACTTTGTTTAAAGTACAATCTAAATGAAGATAAACGTTTAGCTGTTATTTATCGTAATCGTTCATTGATTTATTTACAATTGAATGAATATCAACTAGCATGTAATGATTGTACATCAGCTTTATCAATTGAATCTAATTGTCCGATTGCATTGTATCGTAGATCATTAGCATTAAAGGTAAGTATTGTTGATTTTTGTATTTATATGATGTCATTTAATTCATATGTAATGATTATTTGAATTTTTCCATTGCTGTATAGAACTGAAGTTGATCATTCATTTTAAACAGATGTGCCTCCTGTACGATTCCCATGATAAGACCACTAATCCACTAGCACTATATGCAGAATTCACCCTTCTAATCAAGACAGTGGGTATTTGAACCCAGTAGCTAAGTGAATAACACGGCGTTGTTGGAAGCTAGCTGTACTGAGTTCAAATTCCGGAGTTGATACTAACTTTTGAATCCAAGTCTATCTATCTGACGAATCTCAAGTCGGACGAAACGCTCATCTTTGATTCTACTACTAGCCATCATCCATCACTGCTTATGATGTTATAAATCAACCGTTTTGGTTACATAAATACATACTAATAATAGTGTGCAATATCTAAATGATTTGTTTCGTAATTCTGTTAAAAAGATAAAATCTAAAAGTTGTAAAGCCTTTCTTTTACCCGTCATTTCGTCAGTTATGATCAACATATGTACGTTTATCCAAGTCCCTATACTACATAAGTCCAATGAGATGAATTTTAAAATGATCAAGAACAGAATAATTTCAATAATGTAGTGGTAATGATGATGAATAAAATTGAAAACTGAGATTATTGTTTGAAAACACTAACTGAAGTGATTTAAATACAGGAACTCCAAATTTAAAAGAACAAAAAGACCAAATACATTTGCCATATTGTAACAGATTCTGAACAATTCCATCCACTGTTTCTGACTTATAATTGCATTTGTTACGTAGGACTAAACCAGTTTATCTACATCTACCTACGCAGCTTAGACCAATGACTTCACGAAGTACTGAATTATTGTGTACAATTTTACTCATTATTTATCAGAGAGTTAGTTTAGGGTATTTTTATAAAGTCAAAATAATAAATATGAGAAGGGGTTTTGTGGAGATTTAGTATTTTTCACAGTTGAAAGCATGAGTCAATTGAAGCTAGACCACCATGAAAAACTTGGAAACAATGTACGGCCGTTTTGTCCTATTATGGGACTCCTCAGCCGTGCGCATCCACGAACCCGCTCCCGCGAGTTTCGAACCCAGGACCTACCAGTCTCGAGCCGAAGCCCTTAACTGATAGACCACTGAGCTGGCATCCAACGGTGTTAATGTCTAAGCAGTGACCAGTGGAGTTCAAAACCACGTCTGTTGTGAGATAGGAACTCACTGAAGACAATCGGTGAATGGTTGCTCAACTTCGTGGATCAGTTGAAGTTAGACATTAACACCGTTGTATGCCATCTCATGGATGCGCACTGCTGAGGATTCCCATAATAGGACGAAACGGCCGTCCAGTGTTTCCATGGTGGTCTAGCTTCAATTGACTCACGCTTTCAACTATGAAAGTCAAAATAGTTAGCTATCTTTTGACTTGTCAGTTGTTTCGTTGTAAATATCAACTAGCTCCTGATCTATTATTCAAAAATGTTTTCGATTAGTACCCATTGAGACTTATAAATTGTGACACATTTTAGTTTGATACTTTACATACATAGTCACACGATTTATTAATTTAAATAATAAAAACATATAAAGGGACTATGGAGATTGCGAAATGCTGTAGTCTACATCACAGGCTAACTGTAACTAAACAGACGTCGGAGACTAGGATGTACCGATTCATCTCGGTATAGTTAAAGTCCAAATTGTTAAAAGGTGGATTGCAAGTTAATAGTATGAAAGTTAAGCGCTCATTTCAAAGCCTGAAACAAATACTAGGACGAAATAGCTGTTTAGTGCTTCCTGGTTTTCGGAGAATATTAAGTCCGTGATGTGAACTACATAAAGATACCTGTGACCATACATCTGGCTTTCTGCTAATCTAACTGAATCGTCAATATGTTTAAAACTTGCATGGCCCAAAAATTGTGAGATAAATACAGTAACGGACTTGGCAAATGAATCGGTATTTTCATAGTAAAGAAAACAACCATTTTAGTAGCATTTTGCATTGTGAAGTGGTGCCAACCAATGAAACCGATAGAGCATTGAATTTCCTTATCCCTACTAAATGATATATGACATTTCACGCTGTTGGTAAGATCCATTCTTGTATAAGTGCACAACGATGCCTTTCTGAGGTGTCCCATACTACGTCGAAAAAACAGTTATGTTTCTTGATTCGCGATAATTCTCTAGTTGATAGTATTTCATTATATGAATGTTCTTGAATACATACATATATATATTATTATATATATATATATGTTTTGAAAAAGATTTCTTCCGTTAATAAAACTCAAAATGTGTTTGCATCGTTCTATTCCTTCAAATGTCCAACACTCAAAATGCAATAAATATAATGGTAGATCATAGAACTGGATTAAATAATACTTCTATTGAAAGTAAAATATTTATAATGCGTAATCGGTGTTTATGTTTGGTCTCTTATGGTGGAATTCTCTTAATAATATTTAACTACTTATTTTGTTCCAAGTAGTATAAGAGTTCTAGTAAACAGCACTATTAATCCTCAAGATAAATAATTATTAACATAATTGAACATTGTCATCAGTAAAACTGTTGTACGGCTTACTGTAACAACTAAGTATTTAGATAAGATTGTTGTCAAAATAGATTATTCGTTTTGCCTTGAACCACCAAATTGGAATTTTAAAGCCCTCTCCCATTTGCTTAGAATTGAACTGCACGAATAGTGTCAATATCTCTAATATATTTAATTCCCATATTGTGAATTAGAACAACATATATAAGCCAACAATATTGTTTTCAACTAGATCCTCAACAGGATTTACTCAAATATATAATAATATTTATATGCATTTACGAAATTATTAAACCAGTCAAAACAGTTTCTGAGTCAGTGATGAAATAAATATTATTGTATACTAGTGTATTGAATGAGAACATAGGTGAGAACAACCGATTATCTATTTAGCGCAAACTACAAAGTTGCTTGATAAAATAGAAAAGCCATACTCTGATACTTCATTTGCAAAATGTTCATTAATTGTCTCAGGCATCATTGTTCCTGGATTTCCACACCAATTGCTTTCTGTTTCTGTTCTTCTCTTCTCGATCTTTTCAATCTTGCCAGATATTATATTCTTAACTCACGATACATACTACTTATGTCGATATAAATAGCCTACACCACACTAGAGTAAAGCCTGATGAGGATCTAATTGAAAACTATATTCTTTCGCTTAGATATTATCTTGTTCTAATAATAAAAAAATAAAACTCAATTACAAGTAAACTTCGAAAACATGTGGAATCGTGGTGTATTTTCTATTCGATTAGCTCCTTTTAATTGATTTAATGACGTGGACATTGTTTAGTAATGTGTTTCTTTGACCACTTATTGGATATGCTGGTAATGAAAAAGGGGAAGGAAATATTGACAAGGGGTAAAATGAAATTTTTCAGTGACGAAAAGTATCAATTTGTATGCAAAATGTTTACATGATTTTGTTTTATCAAATAATTTTCCAGTTTCTAGGTGACCACTCAGGATGTTTAAAAGATCTACAGAAAGCATATAGCTTAAGTCCAAATAATAATAGAATTATTGAAGAATTGAAGAAAATGCAGAATACTGTGGTACAGACGGATGTAAGAGTTTTTATTATAATAACTTGATAATTTATGGTGTAGTGATCATTGGGAATCTTGATAGATCAATGTGTTAGGGTATCCTTTAAAATTACAAAATATTGTTTGGTTGTGCTGATCTGTCAGTGAAAGCAAGATGTTAATAGATGGTGAGAGAAAAGAGACACGTACAGCTATGCTAAACATATGCGACTATATATTACTGTAATGTCATTTCATTACTGTTTTCTACCTGGATTTCGATATGAGCTGATTACTCGTAATGTATATTCATAAACTATAGTTTAATCTGAACTAGTTCTCAGTTGTTGGTCGAACTTTCAGTGTTTTAGTGATCCAGTGAGTCCTGAGTATCGATCGAGTGCCCAGTCTAGCAATGTGCCTTATTATCTAGTGTCATGCCGTATTGATCCTAAATGTAGTATTATCTTGTCTCAAGTATCTAGTTTTCTAGTGGTAGAACCGTATCAAGCACAAGATTATGTCGTATGTCATACATTAAGCTCACCATGAGAAAATAGTGATTTCGTGCAAAATAAAGTGTCGAAGAATTTCTGCCTGTTTTTTATGTTCTGATAATGAGGTAAGAGCACTTAGAGTTTCTTGACAAAATTTCAGCAAGGGAAACATGAACCGTACTTGGCTTTCATTGAATCATGTCATATGAAGCTTAGTGAAGCATATGAGCGATATGTTATCGATTTTTGACCTCTACCTAAATCACGATACTTAATTGGTCGGAGGAAGTTTAGAATTGTGAAACACTGAATGATGAAATATAAATACAGTCTACGTATTCATTGATTGCCAGAGTTAACCATATTGATAAGTTGACGATTTACAATAAAAGTCTGTCTGACTGTGGAATTTTTTAGTTGTAATCTTCATTCACTGTGGTTCAAAACTGATTACAGTAGAAAAACCAACCAAATTCATAGTATCCTTTATATCTTAAACATTTTATTAATTTCTTAATCTTTCCAGTTTTTTCCCTCTAGATCTCTATGTTCACTTTACCTTATATCCACTTCTGCTAAATTGTATCCACTTTGTTATTATTGAAGTATATTTGTCTAAACTAAATGACGTTAATATTAATTTATCCTTATTCGTTTGCCAGTGCTAATCCAGGATAAATTAATCAAAGAATACTTTAGAAGTTCTCAGTCCTTGAAAGTACCGTGGTATATTCGGAGTAATGTAAGGTATAAACAAGTGTCAAGAAATAAAACTTATCTGGTTTTATTGGCATGGAGGGTTTATGGAGGTCATTCATTTTTTTTAAATTCACATTATGGGCTGACCCTAACTAGGTAATGAACAACAATCAGGAAACCGTCGTAGTACGGTACTCCTCAACAGTGGGAATATATGACCACATCAGGGATTGGACCCAAGACATTCAGCTATCTCATTAAACGCTTAACTCCATCTTTTTTTAATTAAATGACATTGAATGATGTAATGACAACCCCACGTCAGTACTATAATTCATATCTATCCCAGTTAGTTATCATAAAACAATTACCATTATCATATCATGAATAAGTTGTATACAATCAGTTATTCTATACAAACCTATCTTTAAAGTTAAGTTGATTTTAAGCACAATCTTGTGAAATCATCTGTATTTTTATATTTTCTCTTATTTAATAAAATAGAAAATGAACATTGATGTCCTAACAAATAAATCTCAAACAGTAATAACTCCTAGTATAATCAGTAGTACATCAGATCTTGAAATAATTGATTTACCAAATGTTGACAGTGAAAAAGAAGATAACATTCATGATGATAATGTTAATGACGACGACGATAACAATAGTGAAATACTAGAAGAGGAAGCAGAAGAAGAAGAGAATGATGAGAGTTATGATAAACTATCATCTATGCAATGTAATAGTATGAATCCGTCATGTCATATTTCTACTGATCCAAATGATTTCTCTAAATTCCAATCAAATAGTGCAAATGTTATGACTAAATCAATTGACAATGAATGGGAAGAAGTGAATGTTATCAATAAAGAAGATACAAAGATCGCTAGTACAAGTAGCATAAATTCGACCATTGAAAATAGTTGGAAGTTAGGTAAGATAACTGTTACTAATAATTTTAATTTTGTATGGTTTATGAATTATAACAAGATAAACGAACAACAGTGTACTCTAACAGCAAAATCTTTTTAATATCTCAATATATTACTCAGTTATGTTTATATAATGTGGTATCGGTTCATGAAACGATTATCTTTTGGGCTGATTTATGTTGGTAGATGAAGGTTAACTAATTGGGGTCAGTGAGACTATTGTAACCAATGGTTGAAGACAATGAAAGAAGGGGCGTACTCTGAGTCACTAAACGTCAGAAATACTATTTTTCTACTCATTGGGATATTAAAAAAATATATATTTAACTTTCTACCTAATACTCAATTTATTTGAAATTATCAAGTCTAACCTTGCCATTGATGCCTATAAGCTCATTGAAAGATACGACTTAGAATTGGTCACAATTGCTCAGATGCATTCATATTATGCTTACCCTAAAAACCTTAGTCTCGAAATTATATTATTCTTTTTACACTTCAAATATACATTGTTTATGTTTAGTCATTTCTACAATCGCGGATACTGTTACCATATCCGGTAATCTGGTATTAGTTTTGAAAATTTCATTTCACGATCCTGATACAGTATGGAGCTTGAACTGACGCATTTATATGCCAGGTTTTACATTGTTTATGACTGACTGACTAAACATTTATGTCAAGCATTAAATTAATAAATGTGATTATTCGAGTGAATGGTGACAAATTACCTTGACTGTATAGATTATTGAATACTATTAAGTAGCGAGTTAGAGTTAAAACCTTATTCTGGATAGGTATTTACCCGACATTTATCTTCAAGTTTCAAATAGATGTTATATAATCATTGGATTTTTAAATAATGGATAGAATGTATAGTTCAGGTGGATACTTTACATGACATGACATTCTTTGAGCTGTAAACAGAAACAATGATGCTATCTATAACAATAATGAAAGCTTTGCAATTAAATCATTTACCTCAGAAAATAAAACACCACAAAGAATTTTATAAACACCGTTTACATTTATATATACCTAACTCGTTAATGAGATCAATAATTAACCTATAAATTACTCGTATATTCATATGTAGTTGAAATAATGAGTCAGTTGAAGCTAGACCACTATGAAAAACCTGGAAGTACTAGATGGCCGTTTCGTCCTATTGTGAGACTCTTCAGCAGTGTGCATCCACCAACCCAGGACCTATCAGTTTCGCGCGCGAGCGCTTAGCCTCAGGACTACTAATGCCGGCATCCAATTGCGTCAATGTCCATGAAATTGAGCAACCGTTCACCATTGTCTTCAGTGAATATCTTGAATTTTTCATATATTTTTCTATCTATTTTAAAATTATTTTTTTCAGATAAACCAATAATGAATTCATATGAATTTCAAAATTATTGGATAAATATTCAACATTTAAAACGATTAAATTATATAAATGCTATGAATGAAATTGTTATACTATTACATAATATATTACCTGAACAATTACCGAAATGTAAGTTCTATTGTTAATGTAGATTAACTGTTTTTTAAAAATATGAAACGAAAAGTTTTTAATTCAAAATAATGCTGTCTGTTTAAGATAGTAATAATCAAAACCTGAATGACTTATTCTTATTTATTAACATAAACACATCATTTATTTATTTAAACACATAAATATTGGTACAAAGCGGCATCAGATATATATGCCGTACAAACCTCATTCGATTTGTGTGAGGACTGTGATACTGTCCAGGTTCCCAAACTGAAGCAGGTGGTTTCCTTAGGGGGTCACACACGGAGCCTTTGACCTGAAGTTCTGATCCATAAGGCAGTGGAGCATCGTGAGGAGATGCAGTCCCATGGTAGCCGGTGACAGACGATTGGTTCATGTGCCATTTGTTCCCTCAGGATACTAGAGCCCATGTGCGCCTTTGGTTCGGAATCGGGGTTTTCTAACTCCCGTATGTGAACTTTCCGTGTCCACCAACTCGGTTAAAGCGCCAGACATTCGCCTTTCATCCTCTCAATTTTGTAAACAATACCCCAGACACGAGAAGGCATTGATTGGGACTTCGGTGGCAGAGGCTATATAAGTGTGGCCATGTGAGAGCATTCGGAGAGGGAGAGTTGACTCTCCCCATTCTCGGTCGTACCACGGCATTTGGGGGCTACTTGGTTTCGAATCACACTATAAGTATGAGAGTGAGTAGCATTAATTGGTTAATCAAACCTAAGCAGGTAGAGTTACGTTCGAATCTGTAACTTGGTGGTGAAAAGCAGGAAGTCTTTAATTATGTAGTTTTTGTTTACTATAAATTTAAAACTGATATTGATGATTCTGACAATTCTTTTCATTCTGGTTAATTATACTCGTCAATTTATTTTTTCTATTTATCAACCAATTTAATCTCAAATTCTTTATTCCAACAAGATTTGAACTTCGTTGTACTTTTAGTTTAAGCAGTTGGTTAATTCTTACAGCTACCACATAGTGAAAATAATTTACATTCATTTCGTTAATGAGTAAAAGACGGGTAGAAACCTAGGTATCATTACCAAATTTTGATTTGATAATTTTAAATAAATTGAGCATTGGGTAGATTGTTATAAATAAATTTGTAATATTCCAGAGAATTTTTATTCTCTGAAGAAGTGGCTTACACTGAGTCACGAAACGTCAGAAAATGTAAGTTTTCTACTCATTGGGTAAAAACATATTTGGTCAATATGCATTAGTTTGCCATCGATCGAATAGTAATATTCACATCTAAATGGAATTCATTAAATTTATAAATTTTCTTAACTAAGTTGTGAGCTATATCAATCAAAACCAGAAAGCAAGAATAGTAGATTTGAATGTGATATTCATATACCTGAGAGTCATGTTCAATCAACAGTGAGATAAAATGTTGATATCAACATAAAATTAGAAAGTTAATACCAATTTCCTCTCAACTACGATAAAAAATTTGTTTAATATTTCTTATGTAACTATTTTCGGTTCAGTAATTGGAATTCGAATGGAAGCTGAGATGTTAGATGATTTATTGAATGCAATCAATGTGTCAATGAATACTGAAAGTAAGTGTTTAACTAAATTCTTTTTAAGTATATGCAATTTAACGATAGCTAATAAAACTCTAAACGCTACCAAACAGCTATCCTTCAATATTTATACGAATGTTGGTATTTTCGGCTATTCAGTTCCCAATATAAGCATTTTGAATATCAAAGCAGTTTTCGAATATGCTAGCACGTGAAACTGATACATTCGTACAAGATGCTCATGTGTTAAAAAAATCCTGTGTGGATAATAAGGTTTCAACTTAAACTATTATTGATATGTCTTGTAGGTTGAACGCTTTAATCAGATCCTAAGCTATTACGATAACCTCAGGCCTAGCACTACTCAGCGACTTGAACACCAGAAAGAAGACACGAGTAAGAGAGAAATACTTTACTGCAAGGTTGATTTTTGTTCAGAAAATCATAGGTATTTATAGATGTCAGCAAATGTTAAATCAACATCCTATTTCAACCAAACCATTTAACGACATACATTGCTACCGACCAATAGTAGCATGTCACGTTATTTATTTATTTGAACACATTAATATTGGTACAAGAAAGCACCAGATACATATGCGCCATACAAATCTCATTCGATTTGTGTGAGTGATATGATACTGCCCAAACTGAAGCAGGTGGATTTATTAGGGGACCACACTCGGAGCCTTTGACCGAAAGATCTGATCCACAAGGCAGTGGAGCATCGTAAGGAGATGCAATAATATGGTAGCAGGTGATCAATGATTGGTTCGTACGCCATTTGTTCCCTCAGGATACCGGAGCCAGCCCATGTGCACCATTGGTTTGGAATCAGGGTTTTCCAACTTCCCTAGGTGGACTCGCCTTGTCCACCAACACGGTTAAAGCGCCGGACATTCGCTTTTCGTCCTCTCAATTTCGTAAACAACACCCCCGCCACGAGAAGGCAGTGAGTAGGACTTCCCTGGCAGAGGCTATATATTCGCTGACCATGTGAGAGCATTTCGAGAGGGAGAGCGGACTCTACCCGCTCTCGGCCGTACCAGGGCATTTGGGGGGAACATGCCACGTTGGAACTCTAGAATGTTCCATCGTACTCTGATTGGCTGGGGCTCTTTTTGGGCCCCTGGAGTTTTCCGGAAGCCGATTCAACAATTATATATATATATATATATATATATATATATATATTTGTTATGACTTGTAGGTTGAACGCTTTATTCGGATCCTAGCTATTCGGATAACCTCAGGCTAGCAGTACTCAGCGACTTGAAAGACGAGAGAGAAGACACGAGTATCAGAGAATCACTTTACTACAAGGTTCTTTTATGTACAGAAAAAACAGGGGGTTTTATAGTAATTAAAAAGACCTTGAGATACCATAGTAGCAATATGTTTAACAACCAATCAGTACCTCATTATTTTAGTAGCATAGCTTCTAACTAATCGCTGATTGGTTGGCTCTTTATGAGCCTCTCTGGAGGCTCTGATAGAGTTTATCGTAAGCCGACCTAACAATATTAATAAAAAGATGCTGCGCACTATGACTCAATACTTGATTGGTGAATACCACTCTGATATTTGAAATGATGGATTTAAGTATCAATTAGGATATTGATATTTAGTGAAGTGAACCTGGTTGACATCCTGTAAATAAAAATGAAATGCACATCCTATGATTGGATGTAACTAAATTTCCTGTTTTCAGTTAAAGAATATGCAAGTTTAGCACTATGATCATAACTGTTGTTTAAATTAGTTTCATATATTTGGAAAATCTTACAAGTCGAAGAATAATTAAATAATAGGCAGATTGGCAGCAGTGTTTTACGACTCAAACATGTGATAAGATATTTCGTATAAGGTTGCGGAGATTGTTGAGTTCCATTGGAATTATCAACCGATCTAACTTAGACAAACATCGAAAACCTGCAAACACTGGAAGGTGGTTTCATTTTAGAATGGAACTCCTCAGCAATGCGCATCCAAGATTCCGCACGAGAGGATCGAAGTTAGGATCTTCAACCTCCCGTGCAAACGATTAACCTCTACACCATTAAACCGGTATTCAACGGCGTTATATCTAACTTCAAACAAGTCACGATATTGTGCGACCATCCTCCGTTGTTATCGGTGAGTAACTGCCTCACGCTTGAACTCCACTGGTCACATGTTGTCACCAGAAGTTCAATGGTGGTCTAACTTAGATTAGTTCATGATTTCAACGCGATGAGATTGTTGGATCGTCCTATTGATTTTAGATATGAAGCTAAATTTAGAAAACTATTTCTTCACTATTAATCGTTCGTTAAAGTAAATGAATCAGTAAGTTAGCTTATAATTTTGAAATAAAATCACAAAAAATTCTCCCCAACACTGAAAACAATCACTAGTAATCCGGTTAGCGAAACATTTGACTGATTCGTAGTATATTTCATTTATGGGTGATTTTAAAGTGAATTCACCAAACAGCAGAACCTGTTTTTGGCGGAAGATACATAGACGCAAAAATTTTTAAAATTTACAATTTAATGTGATTTAACTTTGTACTGTACTGAAATCCGACGATTAACTGTTTTCAACTGATCTTCAGTGAATGATCACCGATTATGTCTTCTACCTTCTAATTATTCAAATATCAACATTTTATTCTAATTGTGTATTAGTGTTTAAATAATTTAGTAAGATTCTGAAACGACTTAATATATGTCACATTGGTCATTAGTTCGTAACAGATACAAGTCATCAGCCAATGAAGACATATGTTACTTCCCTAATCATCTTTCATTTAGAAACTTTAGGGACTCAATGAAAATCAATCACTAAGAGCTATTTATATTTCGCCCAAAAATTAACCGTCATACATCTTTGATTTACTGTCATAATTGTGCAGAGTTATACACTGTTGGTCAATCTGCTTACAGGATTACAAATACAAATTGCGTTAGGTTTATTTCTATAACAGTTAGAGATTACATTGTGAACATGTTATGAATAGATTCCAGAACATCAATAGACAAAAAACAATATCAATAGGAACAATACAATTAAATAATTAGAGGAAACGTATTTACTATCAAACTTTTTTTCCTATATCAATTTAAAATGTTTTTCTCTGTTGTTACATTACTTTATTTCAAAACGTTTTCTATCTTATCTTTCTAGATAACAACAGTCTGTGGATTTACGATATTTTAATCCAATTGAGTAAAACAGCACGATTTGATTGCGCCTTATTCTTAATAAGTGATGACACAAAACAAGGTAGGTGTTCATTTTCTACACTTTGCATAAAATAACTAATGTTAAAAAGGCATTAAAAATACCGATTTTTCATTATGAGCGAGTATCAGTACAATCGATACAACGACTAATTTATAACTTTAACTGTGTCAGTCAGTCATGAGCAAACGTAGACCTTTACAAAGGAGTGTATCAGTTCAAGTTACTACACCACATCATTACAATGGGATGAAAACTAAATCAGTAGCAATATCGGTGATCTAAAAAAAGGATTAAGCACAGGGAATAAGATTTGAAAGAAGGAATGAATGCAACTGTAACATTGTGACTGATTCTAGTTCGCGTCATCCAATATCTCTAACTACCTGCCACGATAATTGCACAGAACCCAACCACGTAGTCTGTACCTACAATTATAACTCAAACAAATAGTCCATGATACCACATTTTAGTTTGGGCCCCTCAAACCTTCTTGAAACTGATTTCCATGCCTACCAACGTTACATTTTGAGTCAAACAGTGGTTGGGTATACACAAAATAAACTGCATGAGTTAGTTGATGTATAATTGTGAAAAATGAGAAAAGTAAATCAAGCAATTGACTTGAAATAAAAAACGAATTATTCTTTAGGAAAACTTTATTTTGTAAATATTAAGTTATATTATAAATTCGTAATATTTTCTTCTCTTTCTAGCTATAAAAAGTATAATCGATCGATTACACCATCGTTATCAACAACAGTCTAGTGAATTAAAACAAAGTCATATTGAACAACTCCAATCTATCTACTATTCGACATAAAAGAAGGTAAAAATAAACAGTAGTAGATCAATGGTAGATGAACATTTATTCCATTGAACATCTATTTTATTTCAACCAATATACAAGAATATAATTTAGAGAGTGACAAATATCAATTTATATATATATATATATATATAACTGTGTGTGTAGTTGAATGATCCAAAATCCCCGAAAAATAGGCAATGATCTTTTCTAATTTGTTTAATGTTACAATGTTACACTGTAAATAATGGGTGTTGTCTGCCATTTTTTTTGTTATATCTTGGTGATCTATCATACTATTCCTAATACATATAAACACATATATATACGCTTGTTGAATTATGTAATCAATGGTACATATTATTAGATGAATATAAATAAAAAATAATGATGAGAAGGGGGGAATAAATGAAGGGTTTAAAAAAAACAAATCAACAAAATAATTATGAAAGACACTAACTAGTACACATATACACTATATAACAAATGTGTATATGTGCGGAGAAAACAAACAGATAAACAACATAAGATAAAATTACAAAAAAAAATAACAATTTATACATACATACACACAAACAAATGTGAACGTGTACATTTATTCAATTTTGTGCTGAAAGCATTACCTACTCATGTAATACAATTGAGATGTGTTTAATCACCTCTCTCTCTCTCTCTCTCTCTCTCTATATATATATATATATATATATATATATATATATATAACATACTCGGGTTGTATCCTTGGTATTCTATGATTCAGACTTTGATCAATTATTCATGGTGTTGAGGTATTTAAAAAAGTGAAGTGGAGTTGGTTGTCAGTAGCAATAATAATAATAATAACATCAATTGTGAATACTCATTGATGAAGATGATGACGATGCCACACTAGTGGTTTCCCGATGCTCATTCTTCCCACTGTTACCATCTGTTCCGTTCCCATTGAAAGTGTTGACATTATCTTCTCTCCTTATGTTGGCAGAAGGACTACTAGCAGTAATGGAAGAAGCAACAGTTGTGGGACTATGTAAACTGTTGGTTAGGTATGATGAAATGGAATTATTATTATTATTACTATTAATGGTATTAATAGTAGCATTATTGTTCCCAGTACTATTTTCCTTGGTGACTAAATAACTTAACACCAAATCACCTGACTGTTTCCAATAGAAATGACGAGCACTGCGTAAATTCATGTTAGGATCAAGACACTGTTGTAAGTGGAATATAAAGAACAAGATAAAATGAGATTATTTTATAAAAAGAAAAGTATTCAAATCAATGAATTTGAAGATGTTATCTTATTGCAAACTTAAATTAATGGAAAAGAAATACTGAATATAGTTGAGATCACGAATCAATTGAAGCTAGACCATGGAAAACTTGGAAGCATGTGACGGCCGTTTCGTTCTATTGTGAGACTCCTCAACAGTGCGCATCCACGATCCCGCCTCGCGAGATTCCAACCCAGGACCTATCAGACTCGCGTACGAGCATTTAACCACCAGACCATTGAGCCGGCTTCCAACGGTGTTCATATATAACTTCAACCAATCCACGAAATCGAGCAACCGTCCACTATTGCCTTTATTAAGTTGATATCTCACAACAGACCTGGTTGAACTCCACTGGTCAGTGCTTCTAACTAGAACTCCAGAAAATACCTCATGGAGCCAGTCAGAAGTGAGCGGGGCGGGGTTGTGGATGTGCACTGCTGAGGAGTCCCACAATATGACGAAACGGTCGTCCAGTGCTTCCAGGTTTTCCATAGTGGTCTAGCTTCAATTGATTCATGATGTCAACTATATAAAATTACTGAAATCTCCACAAAATCCGCTTCTGATAAATATTGAATAAATAAAAATAAGACATTAAATCACTGAATACTTCATACGAATATTCGTCAAGGTTAGAACGAAGAGTTTGACAATAATTGGGCGCCGAGTATAAAAAATTCATTATATGTGAAAAAATTATATTGGAAATAGTCTGAGCGATTGAAATATAAATAATTCCAAAGTTTTGTCCAGACAAGTTAGCTGAGACTACTTCAAATATAATTTTCTCACATATACTGAATACTTCATTTATCTTAGTGTTGATGAACACGACCATTGCTTAACATGAGATATTTTTGATATATTTTGTCTTGGAACAGAATAATTATTTCATTATCAAACAATTGTCTCATTTTGTTAATAATATTTCATCAAGGTTATATATTGATAAAAGTCTAAACTAAAACATGAACAACCGAAATTATGATTCTCTTTAAATTTCTGAGTATTTCTGATTGAATCCACACAGTTCAGTAGACATAGGGAAAGGTATCATGCAGGATAATGAAACCCTGTTTTACCTATGGGTTTTATGTTAACTAATAACTGCTACCAAGATGTATATATAGTTTTTAAACAGGTGGTAATTTTTCGTAAGACTTAAACTGCATCACCAACTACGTCATACATAACATTAAAAATAAGTCATTCTTTGAACCTGAATGATTTACTTTAAGCAACTAACATGTTCATTGACAGTAGTAATCACTGATGTCTACTGTCTACTCTTTTGTGTTAATCGAATTACATTTAATCTAAATGACTGTTATTGGGGGGGGGGCGTGATTTTCAATTTATTAGGGATCGATAGTTTATGCGCTAAATGATCTGAAAGAATGCTAATGATTATCCGTTCTTAAAATGATTTAGTTGGAACGATGAATTCACCACGCGCATAAGATTTAAATCACAATTTTATGTGTTCATAAGGTTTATATTGAAATATTATTTACGAAAAATGAGTGAACCGATTAAGTGTACTAACAAATTTATTTAACAATTAACATCCATCATTCAAATTTACGTGTGAAGAGGGACTTGATAATAAACTACATTTTCTTGACGTTTTGTTAAACAGAAAAGAAAATGGTTTTATCAGTAGGAGTGTGTATAGGAAAAGTTCTTAAGCAAGTCATTTCACACATTTCTTGAGCTTTGTACCCTTTTATTATAAGAGAAACCTAGTCAAATGTCTTGCAGATAAAACTAGGGAGATATCCTCAGTTGATACAATAAACAAGGGATTAGAGATTATACGTAATATGTTGATTGAAATGGGTTATCCATAAAGTTTCCTGAAGAGACGCTTGCATGTAGCAAACAAGAAAATAGCGATATCAACGGTAACTATAGGAGATGAAGTCGCACGGTAGTCAGTGACCAACAATTGGTTCATACGCCATTTGTGCCATCAGGATACTGGAGCACATGTGCACCATTGGTTTGGAATCAGGGTATTCCAACTCACCTAGGTGGAACCTCCGTATCCACCAACCCGATTAAAGCATCGTACATTCGTTTATTGTCCTCACAATTTCGTAGACAACACCCTCGCCACGAGAAGGCAGTGAGTAGGACTTTCTTAGCAGTCGTTGTATGCACGTAGCCATGTGAGAGCATTTCAAGGAAGAAAGCTGACTCTCCCCACCCTTGGCCGTACAAGGGCATTCGGGAGCCTTAAAGGACTTTGATACAAGTATTATTTGATTATGTTGTGAAAAGATCTATTTATTCAGATTTGAACTGTTCTTGGAAAAAAGAAACCAAAACTAGCATTTGACTTACCTGATCACCACACCATATTTCGATAATATTCTCAGGCTGTGGATTATTTGATGAAGCTGTCGCTATTATTCTAGCTAAATCAATTTGTAATGTTTCAGGTGGAAGATTTAATGGTGCCATTACAGGTGTTTGAGGATTAGAAGTTGTATCACAATAAGATGGTGATTTAGGTGGAACAACTTGACCAGTTTCATCAGTTTGTCCTTTTAAAAGTGAGCAAAAAAACAAGAACACAAAAGTGTACAAGTGACGATGTTGGTTAACAATATTATTGTAACAAAATAGAAATACACCAGTCGATTATTCATGTACAACTACATAATACTATATATATATATATATATATATATATATATATATAGACTAAAAATATAATACTGTCCCATCATGAAATTAGTGAATAATGGATGTGTGCATAACTAATGAGTTTAATTAAGACTAAAGTGAACATTCCACAGATTTACCATGTTGTTGTGTTTGTATTCTTTGGATAGACTCCTCACACCATTAACTGTTAAGAGGATGAAATAAGAGACAATTCTTACCGGAAGTTGTCAAACCGCCTCCAAAAAACCAAGCGCTGCGGTGAAATAATATTAATGAGTGACTCTAACACTTCAGTAAATATAATAGGTCAAGAAAGACTAGTAATAAGCAAATATTGACAATTGTCAATTGAAGCAATTGCCCTGATATCCACTTATTTCCTTAAGTATCAAGAGACAAAAAAAGTAGATCAGATGACACCTGATAACAATTTATTAATGAAAATAAAAATAATGTATCATTGTTACTCTACCGATAGACAAGGTCAACAGGCGACTGTTACTGTTAGAGTACGTGCTCTGCACAGATTACAAGAACGCCTGAGCCTTATTGAATGCAGAAATACCATAATAACAGACCGTCTTCAAGCTAAGTTGAAACGACCTTGTTGAGGAAGAGAGAAATATTTAACTCGAATTCGTTTTTTCTTCTTGCTGCTTCCATTTATCCATTTATGGAGCAGTGGTTTAGTGATCAAGACGTTTGACTTTCAGTTATGGGATCAGCAGTTCGACCACCCATCTATCTACTTTGATTAAGGTAATCGAATAGTATCATTAGTGACAAAACTTAGACGGCAGCTTAAAGTCAAGTACATGAATAAGTATATGATCAATTAATCATTAAAACCAAATATCTTCTCATAAACCTGAAGAAATTCACTGGGATAATCAACTCACTTGCAGATCTAGGTGATGGTGGACTAGATAACGTACCATTCATTGTTAATGTATCCGCTAGTTTATATAAACGTTGAAATACATGTTCCATAACTTTACGTATTAATAACACATCATTAGCAGCTAATGAATCTCTTTTTAATGAATTCATTGGTACAACACGCCTAAGTTAGTCAAGAAAAATGAAAATACATTAATTGATTAATAGTGTAATAATAAACTAAGTGATGAGAAAACTATCTTAACAACTATATGACAAGTTCAAAACGGTATTCACCGACACTGCAGTTTACTTACTCGGGTTATTATGATCAGCTTACAAACAAAGTGTATGCAGAAGCCCAAAAACATATATAATAATACATTAGGTAGGAATAATATATTTGTAAAATCTCAGCGAATGAATTTGAAAAAGCTTGGACCAGATTGCCAGGCGAAACGTTGGGTTTACTTCAAATTCATTCGCTGAGATTTTACAAATATATTATTCCTATTTAATGTCTTACATCAACTCGGCGCTCAAATACTGTGAAACTATTCGCTCTAATTTAGACGAGAGTTCTTATATATATAATAATAGTTCATATATTAGTTGCTACGTTTAAAGATATTATGATATTACCTAAAACCCGTGAAAACTTCACCTGGAGCCCCTCTGGGGTCACTGCCGGTCCCACGTCAACCGTTGAGAAATGCTGAACAAAGGACTTGACCATTCTGACGGGATAGCTAAATGTTAAGGTTGAAATGGACAACACCGGATACGAAAACTTCATGGGAAAACATTGACAGGGAGAAAGGAATGAAAAAGGTGAGAGATTTGCAAACCTATGTGCCTTCAACAAACTGGTCATAGGCGGCACTATATTCCCACGTAAACTCATTCACAAAGCCACATAGATTTCACTGGATCCCACTATACAGAACCAAATCGACCATATCTGCATCAATAAAAGGTTCAGAAGGACAACAGAGGACGTGAGAACCAAGAGAGGAGCTGACATAGCCTCAGATCATTACTTGCTGGTCGCCAAGATGAAACTGAAACTCAAGAAGCACTGGACAACGGGGTGGACAATATCATATAAGTTTGATAGGGCCTTTCTTCGGGATACTGATAGACTCAATGAATTTAAGATAACCCTCAGCAATAGGTTCCAGGCCTTTCACGATCTACTCAGTGGATAGGAAACTACCATGGAGAACAACTGGAAGGGGATAAAAGGGGCAATCAATTCAGCATGTCAGGAGGTTCTGAGTCACAAGAAGCACCATCAAAAGGAATGGATCACTGTTGGTACACTGGATAAGATTGAAGCAAGGAGGAACAAGAAAGCAGCAATCAAGATCAGCCGAACAAGGACAGAAAAATTCGTCCACAGTAACCATGGAATTAAACCTACTTTAACTCTTTAGTTTATTTAGGATTTCGGGTAATATATCTTAGAATCAGTCACAGTGGCACAGATACATATTCAACATTTCTCTTTTCATAGATTCTGAATTTCGAAACTCAACGAACTCATTTTTTCTTCTCAAAACAAATTATCCAAACTTAATCATTTTTTATTAGCACTGATACGGTTACTATATTTACAACTCTATTATTTATCATGATTATTTTATCACACTGTATTGATAATGGTATAATAACGTGAACCGAAGAAGAATATATTCATCAGGCTCTACGTTGTTTACAACTAGCTGACCTCCATTACGTAGTGAATTTGTAAACATAATTCGGTCTCATAACAACGAATAGAGAAAAAAAGAGGAGGACGAGGTAAATTCTTTTTTTACATTTATATTGATAATTGAAGAAATCAAATTCTTAATAGTTTAGAACACCTTAAACTAAATGGCACTTCCAGTGAACACTTCAACAACTTACTTTATCTAGTAAAAAACAAATCGACAAGACAATAAGACCATTTTAAAATGTGGAATATAGAAACTACTTACTGTTGACCCTGATTGTCTACTTCAATAACACCAGGAACAAGGCAAAACGCTATACGTACTGGTTTAGGTAGTTTACACTATAGAAAAGATAAAACGATCAGAGTAAATAGATAAAAAAGAAAGATAGGTGTTATAATATATCATAGCCTCTCAATTAATGTCTAGGCTTTAAACATTAAATATCACATGTGTTACTTCCGATTCGTACTCCACCACCTGTAGACGATGAGTTACGAACTCCATAATGATAGGGGATGTAACAATATAAAGAAACGTTATTTGATGGTTATTTGACATATACAAACCTTTAAGCATTTTTTTTTAAAAATTTACAGAAGATTTTTAAATACGTTTCTGATGTTAACAATAATGTACTGCATAAGATAAGGAAATTAAGAAATATATATTTTGTAGACAGTTGAAGAACTAAAAAGATTGAATGAATGTGACAAAAAAAGAATTTGGATCTCCTAACTCAATGAGATAATGAGATTTTTAGCTAAATCGCGATTTCTCAAATTGATATTTTATCTCAGATCATTTGATAATCTACTGAAGAACTTCACCTTGAGATACATTAGATATCAATAGAATTTAAAAGTAAATAACGAACATTTACTATCCACTTTATGTAAAACATGCTTGCATGTGTCGAAATAAGCCCTAACTTAACTGAGGTTCAACAATGTGAGTTTGGATATAGTGACGCTAATTCAATAGGTGCTATTAACTTGAAACAGCGACATTGTCGGCTTGTAAATGTTTCATGAATGTCGTTTCAGAGTCTGTCACATCGTGGATTATTTGCCAACACGGGGATTGGACCAAAAAATGTAGACAGGGAATTAATTTGTCACGTGGATTCGTGGTATGAAAGAAAGTTGTATACAACTGGTAACAGTCGATTTACCACAACTACCCGGTTGGCTTTCTAGAGATCAAACAACTGAGTGGTTTTGTGATGTTATTAAACATGTCTCAGAATACAAGTTACAAATGATCTTGCTTAAATTGTATTTTACACTTTTCATAAAAGTGAGGGAAACCTCCTTAACTAAACGATAACAATTTCAATTGTACTTTAATCTGAAATGCATCTCCTGCTGTATACGATGCTTTAACGTTTATTAATTTTTTTAAGGTTCTGATCCTCAATTTCTTCATGGTATTATCTTATTTGTATGTCGCATACTATTCTTGGTGCTCAGTTGTACCGGAATATATTCGTATCCAATGAATAAATTTTCATTTAAAGACCAAAAAGATGTAGCAAAAATTATGCATTTTTTTCAACAAAAAAAAAAGAACAACACTCACAGATTCTACAACTTCCATAATCCATTTTGGTTCTGGACTACAACGTCTTAATCGTACACTAAATGAAGAAGCATCACGAGCTAAAAATCGATCAAGCGGTCGACCACTTCCATCACTATAAGAAATAATCATTGAATCATTAATTATTCAAATAGTGTGAAAAATACCTTAAAATAATTGGCGTATGTCCAGGAATTTCTAAAATTTGATCTGTATTCAAATCGTTGCGCGCTATGCATAAAGGACAGAAAGAAAGAAGGGGGATACATAACAATCAAGGGTAAATTATTTATTTAATAAAAGAAAAAATTATCGAAAATAAAAAAAATTTTCCGAACACCTATGAATTTGTCATACAGATAGACTATGATAACTTATTATAATTTATTAAGTTTCAACTAATTTTAATGTTTATAATATCAGGTTAAGGAATTTAAGGTAACTAAATACGTAGCTGTTATAACTCGATATTGATTAAATCAAGGTAAGTACAGACAGACAAAGAAGATCTGAAAATTGTAAATAGAACTAGATAGGTGATCAACAAGACTGTCTGTCTTGACCGGTAAATAAAGGAAAAAAACCACTTTCGACTTCAACATAGTAACCTAAGAGTTGAAGCAGATATTGAAGGCTAAGACTAGTAAACTCAAAACAGTCACTAGAGTGCACGTTACGATTTAGGCTTTAACAATTTGTAATGAAAAGACTTTTCAAGATTGATATATTAACGGATGAAATGTGAGAACTGATTGATACTATGTAATAATAAAATATAGCGGAGTGATGACTACGCACCAGACCGAATTCTTAACCTAAGAACCTCCAATCGAACTGATATCAGAAGACCAGACAACTGCTCAGTAGGATGGGGTTTTTTCAACTAACAAAATAACACACCTATACACAAAATTTTAAACGTACGAATAAACATGATTAAAAGCCAATTGACAAACAAATAGTTGAATGGTATAGCAACTGGAGGCTGTTCACCCTCTTTAATGGAATTAACGCCCAATTAACTATCAGGCCAAATTTTTACCTCGTCAACCAGAACACGACTACAACAGTATTTCTCAAAAACAAGTGAATTCTAACAAAGCTATTGAAAGTTTGATCCGTCTATACTAATGACATTTAACTGTGAAGCTCGATGGTCCTTCTAGGAAAACATTATTAGCATAAACCTCTGATAGGGGTGAACTAAAACAATTTCATCACATGTGACTAGCGGCTTGTTCTGTGGATTTCAAAAATCATTGGTTGTTGTTGACACATATCTTGTAACTGCCTGTCCATTTATTTTGTTTGTAGGCACTCTTTGACCTTATTTATGACATGGAAAACGTCGAAATATTGGGCACAGGTATTTCAATGAAGATAAAAGAATTCTTAGAAGATTAGTACTGAGGTCAGTTAGTATCGGAGGTAGACATCAAAAGAACGAATACCACATGAAAAGAGATGAGGATAGAAGTGGTTGGAAAACCTTGGTCAGTGGACTATGCTCCACGAAGTGTAACAGGTGTAACTATGTAAGTCTCTATTGCGTAAAACCACCGGATTAGATGAATAAAATATTGCAATTCACATTTACTTAGATAAGTGTTTTAGAATTACATTTCTATACAAAATATTTTCACAAGTAATTAGAACAAGTGTTTCTTTATCAAGAAGTATAATCGGATGCAGTTACATGAATAGTACAACACCACATATAAATAAACGCGCATTATTAACATACCATTATCCATATTGTTTCCATTATTACTAGGATTGGTATTGTTTGAGGATGCAGTTAGCCGACGAGTAAATAATGATCTGAGTAATACAAAGCCGTAATTAACTGAAATCGACGAAACATCACAATAGAAAAAAAATGACAATGAATTAATTATTTGACATATAACATGAGTAATTCCTCCTATAATATTCCAAAAATATATTACTCTGACACTGATAAACCATGCTGAATAGCATACAATAGTGGTTGTTGGAATATTTTAAAAACTGCACAATGGTTGGTGCAGCAAATTGATTCATCTGACGAGTCGAAAATAAGACCCAACACACGTGTTTTGGATCCCAATGTTATCTGATAATCAAGGATCATAATGATTTATCACTAAATGGCAATATGAAGATAATGAACTCAAAATGAAAATATGTTCTTAACATTAACAACGGGAAAATAAAAACACTTGGAAAAACAAAATAGTATGAATTAACTACTTGTGTGTGTGTGTGCAAATTATCTCACTTTTAGTATCATAACAGTAACCGGGATCATTGAATTCATTTAATAGACCAGCATCAGAAGCATTTATGTAGGCTGACAAACAATCACCTTCATCCAAATGAATAATTGGCATCTGTAAAGAAAAAAGAGGAAAACTTTTCAGAAAAAACTAGAAGATGGGCTTTTTAATCACAAGAATAAACAAGATTCAATGCTTTAGAAGGAGAAAAGATAAGGTAATCATTTTTTGATATGTTGCGAAAGAAGGGGGATGAATCATAGTTGTATTTGATGAACAATCAACACAATGTAAGCCTATAAAAATTAGGGTGAAGTGAACTACAACAAAGAGATGTGAATTAGATCAAAAACAGACAAGAATAGAAGTATGTCGCCCAAACAACATGTAAGTCAAGAAATGTCCACTTTGATAAAGGAATCAGACATACAGTGAGATTTTGAGTGTAAATTTGACATGTAATTTCAATCAATTTAATAGTTTAAGATACTATGAACAAGAAAGTTAACATGTCATGACAGGCTTCTGCTTATTACCTAAAACACGAACCAAAGATATGTAATTTAAATAATCCGATGGTTTATTACAGTTTTATTGTATTCGATAATGTCTAGCAGTTAAAAAAAGTACTGTAAAATCTTACAAAGTTTATAATCTTTATTTCCTTTTCTGGTGTACTAGATTACATTACTTACTAATATTCAGTAACTAATATTATTGTCAATAATTTTTAGATTATTGTGCGTGGCATTCAGTCCAGTAATTGGATACATTTAGAAACATTTAAACATTCCCTTTAAATTGTTGTGTAACCATTGAGTATTTGTTGATTTATTACATCTTGTATATTTTGAGTTTTCAATTCTCGTTTCGATTGTCGGCAATCATTGTTTTGCTGGCTATTATATAATTTTATCCACTTGGTGTCGTTTACTTGTATCTTCCCATTGTTTTTTTTGGACTACGATTGATTGGTCTCCTGTTGACATATGTGCATCATGTGCGGACTGCCTTGATACTGCCTGAAGTCACAAGCTTTATAAGCAAGGTTGATGTTTAACTTTGATATTCAGGTACATTCAGCTGACGAGTCCCAAATAGGACGAAACGCACGTCCTGGATTCCACTGCTAGCCACTATCCATTTTGCTTATATTACATAGCTTATTGTAAGTTGTTGTGAATAATTTCTGTATAACTACACCAGGAAAAGCTTTTTATTTAATTAAAAATTAACGCGATGGACATCTTGGAAACTTCACAAATTGAGTTTAGTAAATACATTGCTTATATTGACATAAATAGTAGTAAGTGATCATAAACGAATGTAGTGTTATCTTTTATCACGGAATTTTCATTCATTACCACCGATTACTTTATTCAACAGCATCAAACAAATTTAACACAAACTGATATTCAAAAAGATTCACGTGAGATTACACATGTATAAATAGGTAAAAATAACTGAAACAAAATGCATTACAAATGTGAATAATAACAATGATAATTATAAACGACTTACTCCACATTTTAAATCTACTATAAACCAATTTGGAACATAAATAAGTTTTTCACGTTTCTTAATTTCTTCTTCAAATGATACAACACCTAAACATTCACTCATTGATGCCTATATAACAAAATATTATTTTAAGAAAAGAAAACAATTAACAATAGTACTTATATCCTATGTATACTATGAGCATTCAAAAATAATGTTTATATTTATTTAGTCGACTTCTTCTTCCCTTTCTACCGTGGTTAAGACAGTGAAAATAAATTTAATGCGTTAATTTACATCGCGGGAAATAAACCGGATTAAGGCATGTTATATGCATGATCGTGACAGCGCACGCTGATTGGCTAATTCTCAACCAATCAGCTCTGGCAAATTATTGGAGAAACATCTAGAAGCTTTTTGTGTATATACTATAAATATATGAACGTTTTCTGACCATTTATTGCTGTTCACCTACCCTTGTTATTTTGAATACCATTTCGTTCCTGTTCAACGTGTTCTGATTTGGGGTCTTCTCGAATTTCATCGTATAAGAATACTAAGGAATAGGAGTAGCTGGGTCGTTTATAGGCAAACACAATTATAACACGGACAGATAAGGGAGCATTGAATAACTGCTTATTCCTAGTACAGGACTCCCTAGCAATGTACATTTTTAGAAGTATTCACTGGAGTTTTCAGAAAAGCCATGAGAATTGGAGTTTAATTACATCAGTATGTGGAAAATATCCCCAAATACTTTTAAAAGATGATTGAATACCATCATGAACCGACTGAAGTTAGAAAATGTAAACGAATGGATGGTCACTAGTCTAAAAATTAAGTCACAATTATATGAACGAAGAATATTCTTTTCAATAATTTCTCATCAGGTTCTACAATTATAAATTAATAATCCATATAAAATTGCCCAAGTTTAAGGCAGAGTACATCAATTTTATATGGATTATTAATTTGTAATTGTAGAACCTGATGAGAAATTATTGAAAAGAATATTCTTCGTTCATATAATTGTGTTTCAATATGTGAATTTTTTAGAGATTAAAAATTAAGTGCTAGCTACGAGATACGATGTCCTGAGTTCTACTACAGTTCAATGCAACCTCAATTTCATTGGTTTTCTAAACCAGATATGATAGTGATATGTTACTATTTTACATTTTTTCTAAACAGATTGCTTGCAAAATACTAACAGAATCAATATCATGTTTACTATTAATTACCAAATACTCGCCGATGATGATGATTTGGATGATGATGATGATTTGCATGATGATGATGATGATTTGGATGACGATGATTTGGATGATGATGATTTTTATGATGATGATTTGGATGATGATGATTTGGATGATGATGATGATTTGGATGATGATGATTTGGATGATGATGATGATTTGGATGATGATGATTTGGATGATGATGATTTGGATGATGATGATTTGGATGATGATGATTTGGATGATGATGATTTGGATGATGATGATTTGGATGATGATGATTTGGATAATGATGATTTGGATGATGATGATGATGATTTGGATGATGATGATTTGGATGCTGATTTGGATGATGATGATGATTTGGATGACGATGATTTGGATGCTGATTTGCATGATGATGATTTGGATGATGATGATTTGGATGCTGATTTGGATGACGATGATTTGGATGATGATGATTTGGATGATGATGATTTGGATGCTGATTTCGATGACGATGATTTGGATGATGATGATTTGGATGATGATGATGATGATGATGATTTGGATGATGATGATTTGGATGCTGATTTGGATGACGATGATTTGGATGATGATGATTTGGATGATGATGATGATGATTTGGATGATGATGATTTGGATGATGATGATTTGGTTGACGATGATTTGGATGATGATGATTTGGATGATGATGATTTGGATGATAATGATTTTGATGATGATGAATTGGATGATGATGATTTGGATGATGATGATGATTTGGATGATGATGATTTGGATGATGATGACGATTTGGGTGATGATGATTTGCATGATGATGATGATGATTTGGATGATGATGATGATGATTTGGATGCTGATTTGGATGATGATGATTTGGATGCTGATGATTTGGATGCTGATTTGGATGACGATGATTTGGATGATGATGATTTGGATGCTGATTTGGATGATGATGATGATTTGGATGATGATGATTTGCATGATGATGATGATGATTTGGATGACGATGATTTGGATGATGATGATTTGGATGATGATGATTTGGATGATGATGATTTGGATAATGATGATTTGGATGATGATGACGATTTGGGTGATGATGATTTGCATGATGATGATGATGATTTGGATGACGATGATTTGGATGATGCTGATTTGGATGATGATGATTTTGATGGCGATGATTTGGATGATGATTTGGATGATGATTTGGATGATGATGATGATTTGGATGACGATGATTTGGATGCTGCTGATTTGGATGATGATGATTTGGATGATGATGATTTGCATGATGATGATAATGATTTGGATGACGATGATTTGGATGATGATGATTTGGATGATGATGATTTGGATGCTGATTTGGATGACGATGATTTGGATGATGATGATTTGGATGATGATGATTTGGATGATGATGATGATTTGGATGATGATGATTTGGATGCTGATTTGGATGATGATGATTTTGATGGCGATGATTTGGATGATGATGATTTGCATGATGATAATGATGATTTGGATGACGATGATTTGGATGCTGATTTGGATGATGATGATGATTTGGATGACGATGATTTGGATGCTGATTTGCATGATGATGATTTGGATGATGATGATTTGGATGATGCTGATTTGGATGCTGATTTGGATGATGATGATTTGGATGATGATGATGATTTGGATGATGATGATTTGGATGCTGATTTGGATGACGATGATTTGGATGATGATGATTTGGATGCTGATTTGGATGACGATGATTTGGATGATGATGATTTGGATGATGATGATTTGGATGATGATGATGATGATTTGGATGATGATGATTTGGATGATGATGATGATTTGGATGATGATGATTTGGATGACGATGATTTGGATGCTGATGATTTGGATGATGATGATTTGGATGATGATGATTTGCATGATGATGATAATGATTTGGATGACGATGATTTGGATGATGATGATTTGGATGATGATGATTTGCATGATGATGATTTGGATGATGATGATTTGGATGGCGATGATTTGGATGATGATGATGATTTGGATGATGAAGATTTTGATGGCGATGATTTGGATGATGATGATTTGCATGATGATGATGATGATTTGGATGACGATGATTTGGATGCTGATGATTTGGATGATGATGATTTGGATGATGATGATTTGGATGATGATGATGATTTGGATGATGATGATTTGCATGATGATGATGATGATTTGGATGACGATGATTTGGATGATGATGATTTGCATGATGATGATGATGATGATTTGGATGCTGATTTGGATGACGATGATTTGGATGATGATGATTTGCATGATGATGATGATGATGATTTGGATGCTGATTTGGATGACGATGATTTGGATGATGATGATTTTTATGATGATGATTTGGATGATGATGATTTGGATGATGATGATGATTTGGATGATGATGATTTGGATGATGATGATTTGGATGATGATGATTTGGATGATGATGATTTGGATGATGATGATTTGGATGATGATGATTTGGATGATGATGATTTGGATGATGATGATTTTTATGATGATGATTTTTATGATGATGATTTGGATGATGATGATTTGGATGATGATGATTTGGATGATGATGATGATGATGATGATTTGGATGATGATGATTTGGATGATGATGATTTGGATGATGATGATTTGGATGATGATTTGGATGATGATGATGATGATGATGATGATTTGGATGATGATGATGATGATGATGATTTGGATGATGATGATGATGATGATGATTTGGATGATGATGATGATGATGATGATTTGGATGATGATGATTTGGATGATGATGATGATGATGATGATTTGGATGATGATGATTTGGATGCTGATTTGGATGACGATGATTTGGATGATGATGATTTGGATGATGATGATTTGGTTGACGATGATTTGGATGATGATGATTTGGATGATAATGATTTTGATGATGATGAATTGGATGATGATGATTTGGATGATGATGATGATTTGGATGATGATGATTTGGATGATGATGACGATTTGGGTGATGATGATTTGCATGATGATGATGATGATTTGGATGATGATGATGATGATTTGGATGCTGATTTGGATGATGATGATTTGGATGCTGATGATTTGGATGCTGATTTGGATGATGATGATTTGGATGCTGATTTGGATGATGATGATTTGGATGATGATGATGATTTGGATGATGATGATTTGGATGACGATGATTTGGATGATGATGATTTGGATGATGATGATTTGGATAATGATGATTTGGATGATGATGACGATTTGGGTGATGATGATTTGCATGATGATGATGATGATTTGGATGACGATGATTTGGATGATGCTGATTTGGATGATGATGATTTTGATGGCGATGATTTGGATGATGATGATGATTTGGATGACGATGATTTGGATGCTGCTTATTTGGATGATGATGATTTGGATGATGATGATTTGCATGATGATGATAATGATTTGGATGACGATGATTTGGATGATGATGATTTGGATGATGATGATTTGGATGCTGATTTGGATGACGATGATTTGGATGATGATGATTTGGATGATGATGATTTGGATGATGATGATGATGATGATTTGGATGATGATGATTTGGATGCTGATTTGGATGATGATGATTTTGATGGCGATGATTTGGATGATGATGATTTGCATGATGATAATGATGATTTGGATGACGATGATTTGGATGCTGATTTGGATGATGATGATGATTTGGATGACGATGATTTGGATGCTGATTTGCATGATGATGATTTGGATGATGATGATTTGGATGATGCTGATTTGGATGCTGATTTGGATGATGATGATTTGGATGATGATGATGATTTGGATGATGATGATTTGGATGCTGATTTGGATGACGATGATTTGGATGATGATGATTTGGATGCTGATTTGGATGACGATGATTTGGATGATGATGATTTGGATGATGATGATTTGGATGATGATGATGATGATTTGGATGATGATGATTTGGATGATGATGATGATTTGGATGATGATGATTTGGATGACGATGATTTGGATGCTGATGATTTGGATGATGATGATTTGGATGATGATGATTTGGATGATGATGATTTGCATGATGATGATAATGATTTGGATGACGATGATTTGGATGATGATGATTTGCATGATGATGATGATGATTTGGATGATGATGATTTGCATGATGATGATTTGGATGATGATGATTTGGATGGCGATGATTTGGATGATGATGATGATTTGGATGATGAAGATTTTGATGGCGATGATTTGGATGATGATGATTTGCATGATGATGATGATGATTTGGATGACGATGATTTGGATGCTGATGATTTGGATGATGATGATTTGGATGATGATGATTTGGATGATGATGATGATTTGGATGATGATGATTTGCATGATGATGATGATGATTTGGATGACGATGATTTGGATGATGATGATTTGCATGATGATGATGATGATGATTTGGATGCTGATTTGGATGACGATGATTTGGATGATGATGATTTGCATGATGATGATGATGATGATTTGGATGCTGATTTGGATGATGATGATTTTTATGATGATGATTTGGATGATGATGATTTGGATGATGATGATGATTTGGATGATGATGATTTGGATGATGATGATTTGGATGATGATGATTTGGATGATGATGATTTGGATGATGATGATTTGGATGATGATGATTTGGATGATGATGATTTGGATGATGATGATTTGGATGATGATGATTTGGATGATGATGATTTTTATGATGATGATTTTTATGATGATGATTTGGATGATGATGATTTGGATGATGATGATTTGGATGATGATGATGATGATGATGATTTGGATGATGATGATGATGATGATTTGGATGATGATGATGATGATGATTTGGATGATGATGATGATGATGATGATTTGGATGATGATGATGATGATGATTTGGATGATGATGATGATGATGATGATGATTTGGATGATGATGATGATGATGATGATTTGGATGATGATGATGATGATTTGGATGATGATGATGATGATGATGATTTGGATGATGATGATGATGATGATGATGATGATGATGATGATGATGATGATGATGATGATGATGATGATGATGATGATGATGATGATGATGATGATGATGATGATGATGATGATGATGATGATGATGATGATGATGATGATGATGATGATGATGATGATGATGATGATGATGATGATGATGATGATGATGATGATGATGATGATGATGATGATGATGATGATGATGATTAAATTCATACATTATAATATTAACTCATTCATTTAGATACTAATTGTACTACACATAGACATAATTACAAAGAATGTCACTTACTTTTAAAACATCATATACAGCTACTATACCTTCATTATCTTTCGTTAATATAAAACGTTTTTCAGGGCATATGTGAAACTGTACAATTGGTGATCCACCTGTGAATAAATTATACATATATATTTAAAAAAATTAATAAATCTTGCACAGAACTATCAGAAAAACACATATTGAACAATAGTTTTTATTAGTAAAATATTATTATTAAATTGTAATGGGAGATTGTACATTTTGTTGTAAAATCAGGTGATAAACTGAATTTAATAACATGAATTTCAGCGAAGAGATTTCTTTTCGATGAATTTATTATCAAGCTGTACAATCGTATATATGAGCATTTTTGTTGAAGTAACAGATTTGTGAGAAGATACAAACAAGAAATAAACATGATGTTAAAGAAGAAAGATTATAATACTACCTTATGTAATAAGAATAATAACAATAAAAAGATTGTGTGTGCTCGCATATGCTGGGATTATCGGGTAGGTAAATAGTGAGGTAAGACACAGAGTATTAGGGAATGATAGTAAATCAGTTGATAAGGTTGTAAATCTTCATCGAATGAGATGGTTGAGCCACGTATTACGCATGCCCAACCACCAATTACCACGGCGTGTGATGCTAACTAGGGTTGGAAACGAATAGAAGAAAGTTAGCAGTGGACAAACCAAAATGCTGCACCAATCCATAAAGTCTCTAAATTCTGGTTTGAGCCATGTTGGTAGATGCAGACGACTTGGTTGGGGTCCGTACGACTATTATAACCAGTGGTTGGAGACTCTGTGTGACATGGCTCAAAATCGATCACAATGACTGTTATATCTGAAGCGTTACGAATTCACTAGTAGCGAACGGAACAAAGACACGTGACCAGAGACGACAACTAGCTATACTGACGCGACCCAGACCGAGCTAAATAGAGTAAGAAGTCCAAATTGGAGCGGGGAAGTTATATTCCGTAGCAGCCAGAAGCACAGCAATCCAATAAGGGAAAAAGTCAAGTGCATTTATACAACAACAAATTGTCTTTGAGCATCATTAGTAAATAGCACACACAAAGAAACAATGGACCAATAGCGTTTAAGATAGTTACAAGTGGGAAATATGATGCGAAGGTAAAAAGAGTGCGTTTGGCGCGAAAACAGCTAAATTCAAATTTCCAAAATAAAATTACAAAATTGAGCCACTTATAAAGTAAGTTCTGGGGATTTGACATCCCCAACAATGACATAGGTGTATACACTCTTTATCTTCCCTTAAACCTTGAGATTAAAATTGCTTCATATCTGTGTTCCTTCAAATACTATATCCTTATATGCAACCTTTCTTTTATATATTACCACCACTAAATTAACTACTTCTATGAATACGGTGTTCATATTGTTGTGCTAATGAGGTATGGCAACTTGGACCGATGCATAAATGTGCCTGGTCCTACGTTGTAGCTGATTGACTGACGGATTATAATGTGAGTGAAGTAAAATTATTAAAATGTTTTTGTTACAGTAATTAAAGGTAATAGAGATGTGAAAAATGAAATGAAGTGATATCAGAAACAATCACGAATTTTTTCATGAGAATATGAGACATAAGAAAAGGGAGAAGGGGATATTTTGAAATACGAAATGGAATAATAATAATAATAACGATAATAATAGATTAGGGCAAGGTAACAATAACGATAAGATGTACTTCTTTTGTAAGTACAGTTCTGCCTTGAGCTCATGCATGACAAGAGTTTCTGTTGTATTAAAACGTTGTATACGTAGAAATCTGGATATTAATCTTGATAATAAATTCCCTGAAAAGAGATCGCTTCTCTGAACTTCGTGTATTTAATATTCATAACGGAATCATATATCAATAAATTGAACTGTTTTCTTTTTTACGGTTAAATAGTTATCATTTACAAAATTGCAGTGACGAGCTTAAACCAGATTTAGCTACACTTGTAAAAAGAAACAAACTTGCAACAACCTAAATTTATTAACATAATAAATATGACTGATGAGTTAATGCTGTGATGTAAATGCAGTTAATAAACCTTGATGTCTTCAATACACTAGCTCTTTCTGACATCATCACTTTGCAATGAACAACATAAATGAGCCATACATTCGAAAAGCCAACTGAACGTCAATTTAAATGGTGAAGAGAACACTCATAAATTACACAAGTTCAGTCGACCTCCAATCAATAAATTGACAGTGTTTAATGAAGCTTAGAAAAATACTCACGGACTACATGTATTGACATCATTTAATTAAGGTTAGTAATTTTATTTATTTATTTAAACACATAAATATTGGTACAAGAAAGCACCAGATACATATGCGCCATACAAATCTCATTCGATTTGTGTGAGGGCTGTGATACTGCCCAGGTGCCGAAACTGAAGCAGGTGGTTTTCTTAGGGGACCACACCCGGAGCCTTTGACCGAAAGATCTGATCCACACGGCAGTGGAGCATCGTAAGGAGATGCAGTCCCATGGTAGTCGGTGATCAATGATTGATTCGTACGCCATTTGTTCCATCAGGATATTGGAGCCCATGTGCACCATTGGTTTGGAATCAGGGTTTTCCAGCTCCCCTAGGTGGACACTCCACACCCACCAACCCGGTTAAAGCACCGGACATTCGCTTTTCGTCCTCTCAATTTCGTAAACAACACCCCCGCCACGAGAAGGCAGTAAGTAGGACTTCCCTGGCAGAGGTTATATATTCGCTGGCCATGTGAGAGCATTTGGAGAGGGAGAGCGAACTCTCCCCACTCTCGGCCGTACCAGGGCATTTGGAGACAAATAGGAAAGATAACGGGGCGAACTTGTATGCATATAGCAAACAATTCTCTTTGAAACTAGCACACAACAATACTGTCATGCACTGTCCCATCGCCCTTGGCAGATCAGGCAACCCGAGAGTCACGAAAACACCATCAGGGCAAGGTACCCCTAGTAATACTGAAGTTAGACATAATCAGTGTGCTTGACTGCTTCATGACCTAATATCCTACTATATAGCGACGAAGAACGGTTATAAGGCGATAATTGTGAATTTGAAAGACACAAAAATCTATACCCATTATCCTCATATAGTCATTTGGAGTATTTAAAAGACTGCGCGCTCGGTTATTGCTTTTACATGACAAAACTACATTGTTTGAATATTATAAGTCAATTACAGATAAGTTTTTTTTCTAAAAACACAAGTAACGAATCTGTTAATTTAAAGAAACAGAGGACAACAAGCGATCAGAATTAAGATATCGGTGATAGCTCCACATTAACTACTTCTCAGATTACCAGACGTTCAGATGATGAATTATTAGTAGTATAGCCTACTTCTGAGAACTTATAGGGATGCCTGAAATAATTGAAATGCAGACAGAGCTTGTTTATGGCCGGGAAACAAAGAATAATTGGATAACGATAAGACTGACATACCTCAAAACCTTACGACGTGTTTATGACTTTAGTTTGTATATATTAGTCAAGCTGATTCCGATATAGTTTGTCCGTCTACCATCGTTTTTTTTCAAAAATCAGCCAATCACTTATACTATGCTTAACAGGAGTGCTGAATTTCATTAGAATCAAGATAATCCATAACCCATTGATCAAAAAAAATGTGTTCATGTAAAAAGATCCTACCTTTTATAACAAAATCAGGTTTCGAAGATAATGAAGAATTATGTTGTTCATTATTATTATTATTATTATTATTATTATTATTATTATTATTATTATTATTATTATTATTATTATCTATAGATAAGGGACTGTGATCAGGATCATGACTAGAAACATCTGAAAGAGCATCACTGCTATTATTATTATTATGAGCATTGGATGGTAATGAAACGGGGATAGAATTTGATACAAATTCAGAGCATTTAGACATTGGTAAAGACTTATCTATACTGGTATGATCCATATCAGTATTATTCTCAGAATGATATGAATATTGTTCGTCATCTACAATTGATCGAGAACACATTCCAGTAGGATTATGTTTAATAAGCTAAATAAAATGACAGAAAAAAGTATGCATTATTAATGGCGGGAAATTACGTAATGTAACGATTGTGTTTTGAGATAATGCCACTTAATTTCTAAATAGATATAAAGTTGAATCCATCAATCCCTTTAGAATGTTTACTACATTTATACAGTTCTACGCATGACATTAATATGATATGAGTATTTCTCATAAAAGTCCAACAAGTAAATGTAGGAATGAGATTCAGAATCCGAAAGGAACAAACGGATTGCGAATCCACCTTGAGAGTACAACTCCTTAAGTTATTTTTCTATTTTCCAAATTAAACATCTTAGTCAAAGACTTAATTATGACTCCTTAAAATCATTAACTGATTCAATCTTGGTCGTTGATAATATCACAGCGCTTGAAGTTGTACAGACATAAGAATAATTTATGTTTATGTGTAAATCAAGAAATAAATAAACTATAAATGAAATGGATATCAGTCAGTTAGTAATAAGTAACTAAGATAAATGTTAATCTGTTCAAGTTGCTACATCATAACAGCAAAATGAGATGAGAGCGTAACCGAAATGCAAATCTAGGGTAATAGAAGTGATAAAAAAAAGTGAAAAAATTTATTAGACATAAAGAATATAATCTGAAGAATAAAAGTTACGGAAACATGTTTAAAATTAAAATCTCATAATATGCAAAAGATGGATGAATCTACCTTAGTGTAACTAATTTTCAGCCTTGATATATAACGTTTACAACAGCCTCACAGCTAAACAATTAATGAATATCTATCTTCAGAAGGGGATTTGTGGAGATTTCAGTATTTTTCAAAGTTGAAATCATGAGTCAATTGAAGCTAGACCATATCTATCTATCCTGATTTTTACAGGTCTAAATACATTGAATAACCATTAATTATGATTTTAGAAATTAGTTAGTCATAGCTTTGTTCTAACAGACTGTTAAATTGCCAAACATTGAGTGTCTAGGTACGAGGTAGTTGGCCACACAATATATATTTTGGAAATTCTAGTTGATAAAGATTTACTAACTGATTGATGAATGTTCCATCTTCATCTAGTGTGGTGTATGCTACTGATGTCGATAGATATAAGTAGTATATAACGTCAATCGGAAAGAGAATGCCTGGCAGCAAAAGGTTGAGAAGATCCAATAGAAGAGAACGGGAACATAGAGTGATTGGTATGGAAAGGAACGAACAATAAAGTCTAAGACAATTGATGGGCATTTTGCAAATGAATTATTTACTGTATAGTTTTCAGATTTTACCAAGATTCTGCAATTTGGTATTCAAATATATTGATTGTTCCCCATTTACGTTCCCGTTCATAACACTAGTACCCTGCATCTAACCTTAAGATTACTCATTCAATGGTCCTGAAATACACTGTGTACAGTGTTTAGAATACATCAGTGATCAAATACTAATAGCTCACAAATATCCTCTATTTTATAATGAACGAACTACTGTACAGTATACTTATCCCATAGTTGGCAGAGAGATATCTCGCCTACGCCAAAAGTTAGCGAAACCTAACTATCTCACTATTAGGATTAGACAAACTATTGACATGAATAAATAAATCACTTAATGTATAAATAATATCAGTCAATATGACCAATTCCAATACAATAAAACTATTATTATGGACTTACCCAACGTGATACATTTGTATTACATGTTGCAGACCATAAAAATGACTGACTTCGACCTTCATGTAATAGGAGCTAAAAAATGTTTTCAGAAACATAGAAGCTTGTAAAATATATTTAAATATCAAAACATTTGCATGAGCAAAAACGTGTACGAATTTAGGTAGGGTTTTACAAGTCAAGAATAAACAATTAATGTATATATAGTGGGAATGTGATATAAACCATAAAGAAATCTCTAGTTACAAGGCAATATATAGAAATGTACGTTAAAATATGAACTGTTTTCGGAAGCACTGATGGATGGTGGCTCACAGTGGAATCCAGGATGCTCATTCTGTCCTATTTGGAACTTGTCAGTCGGATGTACTTGCACCTCAGAGTTGTACCTGCTGGTAAATCCAGCCGACAAGCCCTGGATCCGACTGCTGACCACTATCCATCTCTGCTTTAAATGCTTGTGATTCAAACCAAGATTGAGACAGCTCTCACAGGATGCACATAAGTCAAAAGAGATTAACTAATTACAGTCCTAAAATGTCAATGAGAAGATCAAAAAACTAAAATTATGAACTGTTTTCCTTTTTATTATTAAAAACACAGCTAATTAATATAAATTAATTTGTCAATTTCTATGAAACTTTTTTTTAAAAAATTAGTGAAAAATATGTAGGACGATTGTATTCAGCTGTACATACACAATTTGGTTAAAAACGACGTGAGGCTTCTCTTTATAATGTAATTAGAACAAATTGACTAATTACAAGAAATGGAGGAGTAGGAAATAAAGAAGGAGATCGAATTTAATACTCGTCAAAAATTGTACTAAGAAAACTTAAACTTATGAATAGTTGAGTGTAAATTAGTTTATGTCATTTGCAACAAATTGTGATAGGTGTGATATGCTAAACTAGGAAAAAAAAGGTTTATATCTCACTAGATAATAGCAAAACATCATTAGTCGAAATATACATACGAAGTGAACGTTTCAAATTTGTATGAATAAATTTAGCTATGATAAAGTTGGTCATAATAAAGTGAGTTTTTTCTATGATTAGCATATTTTGATCCTGTAACAAAATCTTCGATACATTTGAATTCACTTAGTATTGTTTGTTTGAATCTTCTCATTAATGCTCAGGACTGCGATTGATCAGTCTCTTATTGGCACATGTGTATACTGTGCGTATCGCCTCTATATTGCCTTAATTCACAAGCATTACAAGCAAAGATGGATAGTGGCTAGCAGTGGAATCGAGGACGCGCGTTTCGTCCTATTTGGGTACTGGGTTCGAGTCCCAGAGTGAACATCAACTCCGAGATGCAGGTACATCAAGATGACGAGTCCAAGATGGAGCGAAACGCGCGTCCTGGATTCCACTGCTAGCCACCATCCATCTTCGATGGATACATTCGATACATTCGCTTGAAATTATTGATGTCCCTGTGTTACAATGTGGTATATTTAATAAGCCTATTTGAAAAATGAAATTCTAACTTTCTACTCTATAAACTCTATCTGGTTCGTTAAAATAATAGATTTGCCTATCTTATTTGCAATTTAGAATGTTACCACTAGAATCCGTAATTAAACGACAAAGTCTTAACCGCTTGAACTATTTTATACAAACGATTAAAACTGAAGCTATCGTCAGATGTGCAACTACAAAAATTACTACACACCACAGAGTGTAACACTATTGAGAATTACAAGAGCTTAATCGCTAAACAGAACCGCAGATATTTTAAACCATCGACAAATAAGTTGTACACTACTAGTTAAAGAATATCTTAAAGTTATAAACAGCATATATAAATTAATACCAATTGCGATCAATGATGTAACAGACATTATAAAGTTAGGTCATTTACTTTGTCGCGTTTTTTCTCCCTAACTAATCGATAGTATAGTGATCAGTTGAGTTATGGATTTTCTTAAAACCGTATACTTGGATGAATTCGTCATGAAGTTCACTTTATTCTTAAACTCCATAAATATATGATTGCAAACAGTCACATTTCTTCCTCAGAAATTTTGTTTACTTCCGATGTTAACATAATTTCATCAAGTGGAAAGATATAACTTGAACGGGCGGTTAAGGCTTTCAATGATATGGCACAAAATCGCCAGCAATAGCGTAGGTGAATCCATTCTTTGTTATTTTACAGCTTATAAGCTTCTGAATTCCTCATAATTTCTTGAATCGTGTCTTCAATGTATAATATTTTCTGTTACCACTGATACCGTTACTAACTCTAATATTCTGGGATTGGGCCTGACAATTTCATCTATGTTAATGGAATTTGAGAACTTGAACCAATGTACATACGTATCAGGTTCTGCATTAAGACCGACTGTCATTCGAACAATTAGTGAAAACCAAGAACTATTGATTATCATATAATTTTAAAAACTTTAAACACCTCCTTAAAAGGCATTAGTTTAAACAAACTTAAAAGTAACATCTCTAATTTCCCATATAATTATAAATTACACACTGCATAGTATTTTCATAAAATATGGAACAATTCCTGATCATAACCTAATTTGCCAAATATTCGGAGAAGATATACAAATGGTAGGAATCCCATCGAATATTCCAGTATACTTCAGTTTTGTTCATAAAAAGTAATCAAACGTTTACATTTGTGTTGTTAGTCATAACATCATAACCGACATACTGCATCAAGAATCTTATGATAATAAAGCTATATTAAACAACAATATTACTTTCATGAGTAGTAGAATAAAACTTACACTAATCAGTAACACATGTTGGTAGTTAGATTAGAAACTAAATACCATACGATGGCTACATTAGTGGGATCAATACTTTCGACAGACTGATGGTGTTTGCTATAGGAAGTCCTCTTTAGAGTAATTACTAGCTACCAGGTTTATATCGTAGGATGAATTATTTAGCTTGGTCAAAAATGTGCTTTTATAGGCTATGGTGGTGTATGAGTGACATCATAATGATATATGACAAAACCATATTGATCTTTCATGTGAAGAGGTGAATATCAACATACTTAAATATACGTCATAAATTGAAGGAAATACGTTTGATTTGATATTTGCATTGTTCTTTTTCATGAAATGGATTAACTACATTAAAAATGAGCAGTTTCAAACCAATAAGTAATGGCAAGCTACCATGAACAACAGTTATAATTCCTCTTATTATGACAACCAGTCCTATTGCCTAGTATTCTTGGACACCGATTCATTCGACAACTCACCAAATCAGAACACAGTTGAACAGGAACGAAATTATATTCTAAATAACAAGGGTAGATGGAAGTAAGAAGCACAATAACAAAAACGTTAGTATATTTATGGTTTTTACATAAGAAGATTCTAGAGTATTCTCCGGGTATCCGCTAACGTTGATTGCTTAGGAAATAGCCAATCAGCGCGCCCCGACATAATCCTGTACGGAACGTGCTTTAATCAAATCTACAGTTCGCTAACAATAAGTTGGACACAATTGATATATTTGGATTCGTCATGATTATGCAGTCTGAATACTTTAGTTTTTTTCGTCTTAAACACAAATTATGCAAGGAATTTACAGCCACGAAAGTGATGAGCTATTATAAACTGTTATTCTATTTAGATATGTTTAAATCTAATTACTATTGAGAAGCCTAGAAAATCCAGTTTTATGCCGAGAGCCAAAAATCAATCCGTATGTAAAAATCATAGGTGAATAATATTCCATAATAACCAAAAGCATATGTCCTATTCCATTTAGATCATTTTTACCAGATTTGTTTTCCCAGCATTAAGCATTATTGGTTAAGTTAATTACAGAAGTTCAGGGGACTTTGATGTTCTTGCTTTGGAAAAACACGCTAAATTTGGTAATGATGTTGACAGTTCTCCAGTTAGAAAAGCATAAACACTTGTTCTCAAGGTTTTTCATTCAACTTTCTAGAGAATACTGACGAGTCAAAATATTTTCGGCATGTCTCCTGACTACTGGGTAATTTTTCAGCAACCCGACAATAATCACGTCAATTTCGATTTATACATGACAAATGTTGAAGTTAATGAGTTGTATAAACATTCAAAACCCAAAACATTTATATCCAGTAACAAAAGGAGTAATAGTGTTTACCACGATACTGATCTACCATAGTTAATATGATGAAAAATATGATTTTGTTCACTATACAAAACATCATTTTGTTTCCTTTATAATAAATAATGAGTTGATTGAAACATGAAGCTGTTTAACTGAAATATCGATATTTTACGAAGAAAAAAATATTTCGTTGTTTAGAATAAATACCTTTAAGACTGGATCCGTCTCTTCGCCGATTAATGTAGAATGACCGGGGTTATGCAAATCAGTAGCCCAAATCTTACGATCTTTACCAGCGGAATAAACAGTTGACCAATTGTTATTCACCTAGAATCAATTAATTAACGATATTAAATACTTGGAACGGTTTTTTTAAAATACAATACACATCGAATGAAATTTCAAGTCATACCGATTTTGCTAGGGAAATATACAGTATGTAGAAGAACCTATCACATCAAATTTCCAAGCAAAAAGTACAATCAATTAACGTTCATAGATTTATTATTTGAAATCAGTGAGGGACCTCATTTGGACAACTACTGACAACCAGGAACCACAGGAAAGCTGTTTCATTTTAGTATGAGACTAATCGATTTTAAAGCCATATGGCAACAAAAATCTAAGGTATTTTTTACTAAGATATTTAACAGACATGTTATAGAGTTAGAAGACTTTAAAAACATAAACAGGACAAGTCTTTGGCATTTTAATACGTATTTACCAGAAATTTATTAATACATGGGCTTGAGCATCATCGATTAGCGAAATACTAGAGCAACAGAAGTGGTCAAATAAATATGAAGCCACATGCACGACTTTCGTTCACTTTCAAGTGATGTTAACTATTAGTTCATGGGATTAACTCAGATTTGCTAATTCTCGACCGCAGGTGCTAACTTGACATGGTGGTTGGACATGAATAACTTAATGGCGTAATCGAACTCTGTTTGTCAGAATATTCATTTAGTCAATTTATGCGTTACCATGCAGGGCACAGGAATCTTCGTTAGGGGCGGTAAGACCTTAAAAGTACGGATCTGACAAATTCAAAACTACTGAAAAAACACCTTGTGTGACCGCTATCAACCTGCTGTCCCTTGAACTCTGTAGTCACACTCTCAGGTCATAAGGACAATTCTCAACTCCTTTTTAGTTACTTACCCTGGGGAAAAGTGTCCTTCCACTGTGTAAATAACAGGAAAGTTGTCACTGCCCCCACACCACTAACAGTATTCAAGATCAATTTAAACATAATTGAAAGTTATGTATTTTAAACAATAAACTAAACGGCTCGACTTAGTGGTGGTGTATATGTAGTTTCAGATAATAAGGATAAGAAAAAATATGAGTGCTAAAAGTTTATTGATTTCTTTAGTGGCTTTTACTTGCAACCTTTGGGTTAAAGTTAGCTTTCCAATCTCATTGTGACAAATAAAACCATTTATTACTTAAATGTAAACAAAAAAGATCCATATGAGTTCACATCCTTATTGAATAGTATTACTATCAAAAAAACTAAACAACAGCAAGGGACTAAGTGGGTTATAAAAGGTAAAACCAGGTCACTCAGTTTCTTCGATATATTTTAAACTTCAACGCAATCCAGTTATCTAGAACAAATTCATGCATCCAAATTCTAAAATCAAAAAAATGTGGAGTAAAGATCAAGATTGATACAGTTTGATGCTTATAAGCACACTACATAGATCATTTAGTTACCGATTATCCGGTATTTGCAATAGCTGTACACATACCTACAATTAGTGATATATTTAACAACCGAGTCTATTAGAAAATAGATGACAATGTACAACTACTATGATACAAAATGAAGGTCAATATTGATGTCTACCACTCATGAAGAACTGTAGTAATTGTGTAAAACACACCAATAGACAGGAGCAATATGTATTTATTGCGAGTTGCAAAGTAATTACATACATACATACAAACATCTGTGTAAGTAGTGTCCACTACAATAGTAGTCATCAATACTCTTAGTGATACAACAAGAAACTCAATATATGGTGTTAGCTGAAACAAATGTAATGACTCAAGCTATTGCATCAATAAACAATATGGAATTTAGATCGCCGAAGGTAAAACCAATATGATAATTCGACTCTAATTCTTTATAGCACCAAAAACCATTCTATAGTAATATGTCTCCATTTAAGTAGATTTTCTAGTGTGTTACTACGACTGCTAAGAAATCGTAAGAAATAAACTACAATAAGTCAAGAAACGAGTGCAAATTATCGACAAACTTAGAGAAGAGTAACTCAATTACCTACCTGTAATGTAAATACACTTTCACTATGTGTGCGAATGGTATCTGTACATCGCTGCATACCAAGTGACCATATTTTGATTGTTCCATCAGAACTACCACTAATAATCTGAATGAATATAAGAAAGTTTGACGAGAGTGACACCACTCGCAAACAATGATCATGTTATTGTTATTAGAATCTTACTTCCTAAGGAATAAGGCACATATGATACAGCATTTGTCATTAACTCGTTTTATTTGAGATAAGGAACTAGTTCGGAAGATCGATAATAATTTATGAAATCACTGAGTAACGATTTTAATGATGGGAAACAAACGTAAGCATTTTAAAGGTCTAAGAGATATCAGAATAATCAGTGGTCAAATGCTGTTTTTGAGTCAAGAGAAAGCATCATTGTCAGGTGCCGATAAGCATGCCTATGTTCTAAAATCTGACGAATGGTGAATATGCGGTCGATACAGCCATGACCAGGTCTGCAGCCAACTTGATTTTCTCGTGTTTGAAGTTCACGAGTCTTTGTTAGGAGTCTGATAATTATTGAGACCAGTATTTTAGATGCTATATTAGTCAAACTAATCCCTCTATAGTTATCACAGGATGATTTTAATCCTTTCTTATATATTGGGACGATCAGTGATTGACACCCACCAGATAGGATTACATCCAGTTCTCAGATTGTAGCTAAAATGTTAGCTGACCTAATCGCTAAGACTGGATCACCATACCTAAAGACCTCTGGAGCCAATCCATCTGGACTAGCTTTTCTTCCTCTTTTCAGATTAGCTATAACATTTTGAACCTCAACTAGAGTCGTGGGGCCTACTTCAATATTCCATTCACGCCATTTTGGAATAGTGGGTAGTTGTAGAGTAGCTGAAGGCCAGCTAAACTGTTCTCAAAAGTGTACCACTCATCGTTCTAAACGTCAGGGCTGAGATCAGATAAGACTGTCGATTTTTTCCGAAATCGTCTAACTTAAACCTGATTTATTCACTCCAGTTTCTTTTATTAGTCTGAAAAGTTGTCTTGTGTTACCTACAGCCGTCGCCATTTCCAACTCTTTCGTTTCCGTTGCCCACCACTGCTCATAGTCGTTCCTAAGACTTTTGGTTAACCTAGATCTGATTTACTTTCGCTTTTCATCGTCTTCGGAGCCTGATGGAATGAGTTTACGAGAATCCATCAGTGCAATAGACTTAGTAGAAATCCATTGGTTTTTCGTGACCCATTGGGTCAAGTCACTAATAGATGTCACTGCTGTTTGTATATCTTTCCAAGCAACATCTGGGTCAGTTTCGCTTTCAGAAATGCCTAGATGTGACCTCAGCTGTTCCAGGAATCTACTTTTGGCTTTCTCGTTACTGAGTTCAACTCTAATGGGTCTTCCTAATGTGGTTTTTTCTGCGTCCTGTGAGGCGCAAGCAAATGTGTCAGTCAGTCAGTTACAACGTGGAACTTCGTACGTGCGTACATCAGTTCGAGTTGCCATACAAATGTTGCCATGCAAATGTGTGTTCGTATTAGAGCATGATCAGGGTCTAAACATGTACTCCAAGACGGGCGGCATTCTTCTATAGAGCATCTTCAACGATGACTGATGTAATATAGTCTATTTGAGTCCATCGTTGGTTTGGTGCAGGGGGTCGCCGTGTTAGACGATGTCTCTCCTTATGTTTAAAATTAGTGTTTGCTAAAACTAAATAATTGTGTGAGCACAGTTGCAACAGACGGTCACCATTAGCTGTCCGCTGAGCCGGAATACTGAAATACCCATTTAAATGACTTTCTGTATGGTTTAAGTTACCTACCCCGGCATTCAATTCATCTGCTACGAGTACTATGTCTGGGCGTTAAGCTTTATGAAGAAGTTCAGAAATCTTTCTGCAAAAGTCATCTTTCACAACATTCGGGCTGCAGTCAGTGGGAGACTAGGCAGAAATAACGAAAAGGTAACGAAGCATGCCCTTATCCTTCTGATTTCTTACGGAGCCGTTTAGTCGAACAGCACATAGGTGACTGTTAATAGGGATCCATTCTAAAAGTGCTTGTTCTGCCCTTATACATAGGATTAGATTTTATCTTCACAGTTAGAAGTTTACAAAACGTTACTGATCACGAATGAATAATTAAATGGTTTTATAAATTAAAATTATTGCAGGCAGTTAGACTATCAAAACATCTCAGTGCCTAGTATACATTAAAATAAACGACCAGTTTTTAGAGATTTAGTGTGACGAGAAGTTATAACATACCTCTTCACCATTTGGTCGAACAGCAAGTGCACGTATACTATCAGTATGACTTCGTAAGTCGAAAGGTTTACTACGTGATCTAGGATCCCATACCCATATTCTTTTATAAGGACCACCAGCTACAATGACTGTCCCAGATGGATTCATAGCTAAGCTATATGTACTTTCATCATTTGTTGTCAGTGGACGAGCTTAAATTAAACAAAAGTGAAAAATACAGGAAGAAAAAACAGCAGTGTGAGAAAATGCACCTTCAAATAGGAAGTAATCTATAAATACTAGTGCATAAGTTGGACTCCAAGCTCAGAAGTTTTGTCAGTTAGACTTAAAATTCAGAAAAATACCAACTGTTATAATTTTAATAGTTGGAATCATGAGTCAATTGGAGCTAGACCACTTTGCAAAACCTCGGAGTACTGGACGGCCGTCTCGTCCTATTGTGGAACTCCTCAGCAGTGCGCATCCACAAACCCGCCTCGCGAGATTCTAACCCAGGATCTATCATTCTCGTGCGCGAGCGCTTAATCTCTGGACCACTGAGCTGGCCAGCATTCAACGGTGTTAATGTCTATTTTCAACCAATCCACGAAATTGAGCGACACATTCACCATTGTCTTCAGTGAGTTACTATCTCACAACAGACCTGGTTGAACTCCATTGGTCACTGCTTCTCACTAGAACTCCACGAAATACCTCATGAAGCCAGTCACTAGTGAGCATATGTTGATTAATATCAGAAGTGGTTTTACAAAGATATTATAGTAATTTTAATAGTTGAGATTATGGGGCAATTGAAGCTAGATCACCATGGAAAACCTGGAAGCACTGGAACGGTTGAAGTTGGACATTAACATCGTTGGGTGCTGGCCAGCTCAGTGGTCCAGAGGTTAAGCGCTCGCGCACGAGACTGATAGGTCCTGGGTTCGAATCTCGCGAGGCGGGGTTGTGGATGCGCACTGCTGAGGAGTTCCACAATAGAACGAGACGGCCGTCCAGTACTCCGAGGTTTTGCAAAGTGATCTAGCTTCAATTGGCTCATGACCTCAACTATTAAAATTACTATAATATCCACACAAAACCCCTTCTGATATTAACCAACTGTTATAAGACAGATGGATTAAGCTAAGTGAACTAGAGACACTAGCAGTCAGTTTACACTTTGGGGAAACTTTTAGGAGTATCTACTAGAAAAATGAGGTTAGAAAATATATAAATTTAAAATTAAAAGGTTACTGGGAGTGAAATTATAGAAACAAGGAAGTGAATTGTGTAAGTAAAGTTAAAAACCGTTACAAACAAAGAAAAATGTCCATTTTGTAAGAAACATAAATGCGGTTGATACGATTCAACTCAGTCACTCTTTTCTTCACGATGAAAGAGAAATTACAGAGATGTAGATGCTGAAATGATCAAAACATAATTCAACTATACATACGAATTGTATTCGGCATCTGAAAATAGATTTATATTAGCATTCAGTTTACCCTTTGGGGAACATTTTAGGAGTATCTGAAAATAGATGCTCAATAAGAATTATTTAATACACCCTAGAAACACCGGTCTCTTGTTACCATAGTTGTTGGCTTTTAAACTCAACAGATAAACTAAATAGGACGTGGAGTAACAGTGTATCGATACAAGGGGGAATGCTACTTAGGCATTTAGAGAACAAGCATGAATGAAACTGAAGTTCAGGGCTGGATTATAAATGTGAATCAAAACAATTAAGGAAACACTGACTCTTACTACCATAAACTAAATGGGTGATTTACGTTTAAAAATGTGGATAGCAACCAGATCCTGAACTATATTTCTCACAGTTTAGCAATAATGACAGAGTATTACTTGTAATAGTTAGTACTTTTACATGCCTACGTGAATGATGTTAACTTTTGGACAGACCATTTACTAGCAGATTGTCATGGAATACCAAATTCATATTATGGACAATAAACACTTCACTAATGAAGAGAAAAAAAATACTGATTGTTATCAATACTAGCCATTAGTTTGCGTTGATAAGGCATAACAGTCTTAACGTTTAACCAGTTTCAACTGAAGTATGAATTAGTGGTATGATGTATACTATGACACTTACTTTCAACTGTATTATTAGTTGGTGTAAGTGCTGTGAGTGTTCTTATATCCCACAAAAATATTGCACCATCTAAACCAGCACTAGCAACTTCCTCACGATGTTGTGCGTAGGCAAGCACTCGTACATAATCTTTGTGTGTACCCAGAGTCGACATGCAAAATCCTTTCGTGGCATTCCAAACCTTCACTGTCGTATCATTCGAAGCAGATATGACTGGAAGTGAAAAAAAGCTCCGAATAATTATACTGACAAAGGCATTTTGCGATTAATTCGATAGACAAATGAAAAGCGTACAAAAGGTTTTATTTTGGTAATTACGTTTATGAGATTTAATGTCTGAATTATAATCATATTATTATGTGTAGTGGGAGCTAGTACATTCTAAAACTATAGTACAGGGACAAAAGAAAACGGTAGGAGACAAAAAGGAAAAAATTAGAGTAATAACTGTATGGACCTTGTGTCCAAAGTATATTACCACTTACTCAAAGCTCATCAGCTACTGTAAGGATTACATTATCACACAAGTAGACTATTTACTTAATAAACGTTGATGTATTAGGTTTTCAGCAAAGTTTTATGTGACACTATCCGGAAGGCGTAAACTAAAGTAGATGAAGTGTGATTTGAACCTGACATTTAGTGATTTAAAGTAGATTACTGTGAAAATTAAATTAATACTTCTGTTCAGCTTTGAGTAACATTATTTTATTGTCATAGAAAATGAGAATTACCAATGGATATCATCAAAGAAAATAGCCCATAGATTTCAGTAAAACAAATTCCGAAATTAACTGGAAGTACTTTGTTCAGTAAGTACATACACTCTGTAAAGTCTAAGTTAGTTACAGCGACTTATTACGTAACCTGCCCCGAAACAAACCAATACAAATTAGACCATCAGGGGTAAGATGCAATTATTGTCGAAAAAAAAAAGTTACAGTAACGAGCTACAGCTGAATAGGAGCTGACAAATCTCTTTGATTAGCAATACTACTTTTAAAGTTGGAAAGCAAATCAAGACGACCTGTTTAAATTAGTTTATTTATTTAAACACATAAATATTGGTACAAGAAAGCACCAGATACATATGCGCCATACAAATCTCATTCGATTTGTGTGAGGGCTGTGATACTGCCCAGGTGCCGAAACTGAAGCAGGTGGTTTTCTTAGGGGACCACACCCGGAGCCTTTGACCGAAAGATCTGATACACAAGGCAGTGGAGCATCGTAAGGAGATGCAGTCCCATGGTAGTCGGTGATCAATGATTGATTCGTACGCCATTTGTTCCATCAGGATATTGGAGCCCATGTGCACCATTGGTTTGGAATCAGGGTTTTCCAACTCCCCTAGGTGGACACTCCACATCCACCAACCCGGTTAAAGCACCGGACATTCGCTTTTCGTCCTCTCAATTTCGTAAACACCCCCGCCACGAGAAGGCAGTAAGTAGGACTTCCCTGGCAGAGGTTATATATTCGCTGGCCATGTGAGAGCATTTGGAGAGGGAGAGCGGACTCTCCTCACTCTCGGCCGTACCAGGGCATTTGGGGGCTGATTTCACGAAACACATTTAAAGAACGTCGAAGACTTCCTTATACAATAAACGGGATTTTCAAACAGAGATTTTAGGACACGATAGCGTTTCTGTAAAAACTACAAACAATACACCGCACAACCAATAAAGAGCATAACATCAACTTCAAAAAGCTCAAATAACCATAGAATGTAGATTTCTTTACCTTCTGTAGCAAAATTTCGAAATTTAAGTCAGTGTACTAAAAACAACTGTTATAAGGACTAATGTTTGAACAAATCCATCAAGAACGACTTGTAGAATATAAGAAGTAAATGAAAAGTTTGAAACCCCATCTGATACGACAAATAACAACTGCCAGAGTAAGTTACCTTATACATTCCTGTATAGAACGTACCGAAGAACTGCATACACTAGCATGTCCTAGGTTATTACTAGCATTGACATACCATTATAGATGAAACGTCAGGTTTTTGACTTTTACATCCCCAATAAGCGCTTATTCACTCACAGTTCGAACTGCTAGTTAGTTTTTGCATCGAGACTTACACAGTGAGACTATGATTTATGGACGACCTTTAGGCGACAACAAGGTGACATGGGAAGTGTCCACCTCCCTACTAGGGCTAAATTAGTTATATATCAGTATAAGGCATTAAATTTAGAGATTTGGTCACGAACTGACATAAGCCCTAATGTCAAAATGCTATCTAGCCATATATGTTAATGGATTTTGGGCCATAACCCATGACCTGCTATCATAAACATGATCGGTTCGTCTATCAATTGTAGTATAGTAATGTGTGCTAGTGGGTATTTCGCTTGATGAAAAACATGATTATTGTGAACACGACCAATGTTAGCCTTATCAATATGTTGGTCTCTAGACAGACTAATTTTAAATCGGTCTTAAAGCGAGAAACTTGGGTCTAGTTTTAGTCATTAGAGATTACATGAAGACATGCTTTCATGCGTGTTCAATAGGAAATGGGTCAACTTGGACAAAAATAAAGTAGAACACCAGTATATCATCTCGATAAGCGAGAATTTAGACATACCTAAAATTATAAAGCAAAACAATTTCGGTAATAAAATAAGCGACAAACGTTGACATAAGAGTTGCGAAATAAACGCTACTGGGACTACTTATGTATAATGGGTTTTTTTAATGAACACTGGAATATCGATAACGCAATAAGATGAAGTTTATCAAAGGGACTAAATGTTTTAAACTCCTAAATATCGATGAGACAAAAATTTATGGGTGAATTACCCAGATTTAGGATAATAGGTATTGTATTTTGGCGCAAAATTCGTTCGTTCATTTAGTTAAAGAGGATTTTTGAACTTTAGCTGGTGTCAATTCGTAATGAGGACTTTGATTCTAAGTCCTAACCCTAGCCAAATGTAAATCATAATCCTTATTCTTCACACAGATTTATAACTCTCAATTAGCCCTAACAAGCAGCTAGATATTCTAAAGCCCACTTTAACGTCACTCAAAGGTCCATATAAATTATAGTCTTAACATTATGATTATGTAAATATCACAGATGTAAGTATGATTAGAAATAAAAACTCGTAACGTACGATTTTTGCCACCACAACAAAGTACAATATCTGTAACCCAATCAGCATGATGTTCCATGGTATGTACAAGAGGATCCTACATTACACCCCGAAAAATGGAAACAATGACAGAATTGCATAGCATACCGATGATTTTTTAGTGTTCCAAACTCTGATTATGGAATCCCGCCCAGCAGTAAACAGTCTGTCTGTACACGGATCATACTGTAGTGAGTTTACACCTGAACGATTTTTCGGTTCGATTTCAGCTCGTATGCAGAAGGACAAACGACCCTTCTTCCGACAGGCATTCATGACAACACTAACTTGACGTCAGATAGAATTTCGGACAGCTTTTCGACTGGATATACAAATATAAAAGGCGAACGGGTCTAGTGCAACATCAAGCTGAAGAACTGTGATGTGCGAAACACATTACCACAGTACCGCTTTTGTAGTTTTCGGCGCTCAACAACATATTCAATAGACGATACATTGGAGAATGAATGTCGTTCACTTTTCATTACAGAAATTTATGAAACTTTTCATTCCATCAAATCCTAAATTCTTTATTTCACGGTCAAACGACATTCGGTTTCACTGATTTTTTTCACTGTAATAAGCGAACCGGATTAGGTCATTTTAGGGATTGCACAAAAGCGGTAGGCAAACAATGTTTTCTTTCTCAATCAGAACGCGAAAGAATTTTGTAAGACACAACTGAAAAATAATTGTGGAATGAGTCTAGAGTTTAAGGTTTGAAAACCATGAAGAAGTTTCTAAAACCACTAGAAGTCCCCTTAATAATATAGGCTGTTTAGACACTTACCTGGAGAGGATCTGTGGAATTTTCGACATTCAGTGACCCAACTGCCGGATTACTTAGCTTGTGTACCGTGACGCTTGCACTGTCCTTTCACATTATTCTTTAATAATGATATCCTTTTAAAAGCTACAAATTGTGCAATCTCTAAGACTACTGTCAAACAGATACCCATAAATGCTACAGGTTATATCCCATCGTGAGAAGAAAAGGGTGGTTTTGCCTATAATAATTCCTAATTATTAACTGTGACCTATTTCTGCTTGGGTTAAATGCCCTTACATTACTAGACCTTCTTGTACTTTTTGTAATAACTAATCTGATAGCACTCTATTCCCATAATGCCCAAAAGCCGTGGAATGTACAAAACTTTAACCAGTACGTTAGAACTTGAAAAGAGAGTCTGTCTCCTTGAGGCATAGACCGGTTACATATGGTTTTAGAGAGACTGTGAAGAATGACCCAAACGAACTGTTTGAATCAAAAATTTGTGCTACTTCCACTCCGACTCCATTATTGGCGGATAAAAAACACCTGGAATTTTTTATGACTGTCTGAGGCTGAATAATCAGCCATTGTGATGGAATTGCATCACCGAAGAAATTGAATATGTTTTCCACAAATTACGAGGGCCACTGATTTTTTCTCAAATGGACGTGGAAGATGTGCATTTGAAAATTCCAATGCATGCATTCTTTGGCGAACTAATTACTATAAGTTCACAGTTCGGACCACTGATATATAAGTTCTAATTTTTCGGAAATGGGCGTTTCGCATGCGATATTCCAGAAGGTTACGGATCGAATTATTACTGGTCATGGCAGTGTTGAATCATGGATTGATCAACTTTTGATATGATTTCAGTTTTTTTCTTACTTTAATCAAATATCATCTCCACTTTTCGATTTGGTTTCTAGCAAACAGTTTGCATGGGAACAACGAGATGAAAATACGCTATGATACAAACTGCAGTTCTGATTAGAGAGGCTTTCTTGAAACCGCCTCCGCTATCTTAAAAATCTTTTCCCACTAAAGATGAACCTCCATTAGAGTTAATTGTGGTTCTTAGGCATAATGTGAAACTTATCACTATTATTCCCAGACGATTAAACAAGAGGAAACGAAGATATTCCTTAGCCTATGAAGATGGCACAAGTATTTGTAGTTTGACGACATTTTACCAGTAACACCTGTAATTCAATTGAGCCCACCCAGTAAATATCAGAAGTGAAGGGATTCGAAGATATATTTGATAGGTTAACATTATATCGAGATGTGACTGATCTAAACTGGCCAGAGATTGCAGGAGAAATTGAGCACGGCGTTCCCACTCATGATCTGGTGCGATTGTGTGACCGAGAGCTTTCAGCTGGATGAGTCCATTAAAATTAATGTGGTCAGCATCAAATGTCCGAGACTCACAAAGCTGTTGATTTCGGAGATTTATTTACTGCATAAGCTTATTATCCGGCGTTAAGTAACATACTGCGTACAATGAAGTGTCTAGTTAGGACATGGACTAAGACTTCTCGTGTACATACGATACGTTTTTCGATTATTTCGACTAAAACCTGATGGTAGTGACAGAATATATGACTACTCTACGTGAAAGCAACTACATAAGTTGTTCTACATCATAAACATAGGACAAAATAATCTAATGCAATTATGACACTCGCCTGGGTTACTCTTGCTCCCAAGTGATTAAAATTTGGATTAAACTGTAATTCGAATCTGGATTATATACGAAGTACTGTTGATTAAATTCCTGGAATGACTCAGAGTTGTACACTGAATTTGTATAAGTCCAAAATTAATTTAAGTCAAATGCGTAGAATTGATATGAAGCAACGGATGTCCGCAGTGATTGATAAACATAAGCGACGACAGAAATAAAAAAAGAATAAATATAGAATACAATAGTAAACTTGATAATGTTAGGTTGCGTTATTCGAAGTTTCGCTCACCAGTGTTTGTCAACAACGCTGATGATTTATTTGGAATGATTGAAGGCCTACTGGAGTTAGACGAGAATGGTGTGATAAACCAAATAACGTCAAAGCCACACCTCGCGGTCAGTATCTGACGTGGATTACGCCTTCAATGTATCAAAGTACTATGTCTACTTTGAAGGCCATATAACACAAAGGACGTTATTATGGAAATATGTTGGTACGAATGAGTACAGAGAAGAAGGTGAGACCACCACTGTATGCGCCAGTCCGTGGTATACGATTAACTAATACGCGTTGGTTGTCCTTGACTTTGACGGGGATCGATGATCTATTCGATATTCAGTGACCCAACGGCCGGATGATTTGACTAGGGCTCAGGGACATTTCACTGGCCCTAAAAAGCTATATTGCTATGAATGAATATTCATTGTAGTATTAACTAACAACAGAACCCATTCCAATCAGAGACATCAGTAATAATTTCGGTATATTGTTATGAAGGTATGATAATTAGTAGTATTTGAATTGTAGTATAAACTAGTAATCCCAGGAATAACGCAATTTAATCAAGAAGTATCAGATGAGCCCGAACGAATGTATTGTATTTGGAATTCAAAATTACAACAGTCATCAATACTAAGAAGTCATTGATTTATTTAAACACCACAACCGCCACAGCTCGAATTGGAGTGTAAGTATCTGTAATCGATTGTTCGTCTTCTTAAATTCATCTTACATCGGTCCGAAAGTGTATTGGATGTAAACTCTGTATTATCTAGAATGCAGTCATTAGTATTAGAATTAACAACCAAAATTGGAACAGACTCACCTGGGTTCTGGAATTGTATGCAATCGGCATGTCGGTTTTGTAGTGAAACCATTGATATTTAGAATTTGCATCATAGACTTTCCAACAATATCCTCCTCCACGAAATAATGTTGGGTCCTTACGTCCCAATGTTTAAGCCAATATGAATTTCCTAATTTGCATTATCTTCTCAAATCTCACGCATCGACTACTGTATGTGAGTATTTGGGGATAAACACTGATATAATTCCATCATGTGACTTTGACTCGAATAAAAATTATGATACATATTCTTTTTGTTATTCATATTAGAATACACAGATGGATATGCATTGATATATGTAATTAACACATGTAATTCAACTAGGCTTGATTTACCTGCGAAACAATCGAATAGAAAACATTCATCTGCCTCATATTCATTAGGATAATCTTGGATTTGATTTGGATTCTCTGTCTGTGCAAGCTTCACTTCTGGGCAAGCTGGTTCTCTGATTATTTCGGTAAATTTTGCTATCCCCTCTGATTTATCATACCCCTGACTAGGGATTCTATTCAACATACATTGTTCGTGAGAGTATCCAACATATGACACAATAACATCAGAAATATGACTAGAATTCAACTCAAAAGAAACATATTTGTCACATTCATGAGGAATATCATTAGAGATAAATTCATTGTGAGGACCACTGACATTTGATATGATATCAGAATTTGATTTCTCTGAAATATTTTCCTCAAATGGATGAAGACTTTCATTAAAGAATAATGAATCAACAGGGAATTCAGCATCTACCAAGACTGAATCTGGTTTTTGATCATGATTTGACTCATTTAACATTCTATTCTCAGAGTTGTAAGAAATTCCATCAGAAGTATGTGGATTATTACGACAAACCATATCTGGTTCAATATCATGAGAAATCCGATAAGTTTGTTGGTTAAAAATTTTTGTCTCACAATGATTCTGAGTTTCAGTTAACTCTGGACTGCTATGTGACGTTATACCACTTCTAAATAAAGATAACTGATCATTAGAAGCATGCATCTTAGCATTACTTTCAGCGAAATGAACCATGGTATTACAAACTGACTGAATATGTCCAGTTATACCACATTTAAAGCATTTAGAATTACGAAATATACATGAATTACATGGGTGAAACTTGCCGCAGAACATGCATTTACTAAACTCGTGCTCATCATCATGGACTGTTTCACCACTCAATGAAGTATTGTCTGAATAACTTTCATTACGCATCGAACTACGACGACTGTTTGAATAAGTGGAATTAATGATGTTCTGACGAGTCATTTTATCGGATTTTCCTTTCTTACCGCATTCGGAATTTGTATACTTTACATGATCCAACAGCAGTTGCTTGAGAGTTGCATAGGGGAGTGAAATCGGTTTGTCTGGAAGTGCCAAAATCTTTATAAGGCTGTATGCTTCTTTCCCGATGAATGTAAGGAAATGGGCCACAATATTAAAATCCTCATCATCTTCCTTGGTCATAGCCCAGATTTCGAACCTTTCCATGTACTCCTCAAAAGCATTAAAATCTGAATTTATATTTAACCGTTCCATCACAGGCTCAGTCGCGACGCCAATATGATAATTAGTAGTATTTGAATTGTAGTATAAACTAGTAATCCCAGGAATAACGCAATTTAATCAAGAAGTATCAGATGAGCCCGAACGAATGTATTGTATTTGGAATTCAAA